TTAATTTTGAAATCTATAATAATGTAATGTAAAAGGAAGTTTTTCTCAGAGTTTTAATTATTACTACTTAATAATATAATGTAAAAATATGTAGTTCGAGGTTAAATCTTAAGATATTTAAAATTAGTATTATTAAGGAATTGATGATGATTGGATTTAAAGAAAAGTTAAAAAAAGACAATAATAGTATTTATTTAGTTATGTGATTTACGAGTATATGTATTGTAATATATATGTTAAATTTTTGTGAAATAACTTGTTATAAATATGTAATAATATTAATAATTTTTTTTTAGCGGATCATGACTTGTAGCATTATCATTTTAGAATTCGAATTAATAAATATTTATTTTATTACTACATAAACAAGAAATGAAAACTATTTATTATTTTTTTTAATAAGTTTATTGTATTTTCTATTTAATTCAAGAAATTTTTTTATTAAAATTATTTGATTTTGTGTTTTTGAATTGTGACATTTTAATTTTTTTTTTTTACAAATTTGATAGTTAAAATATTATTTTAATATATTTTCAGATAGATACAGTAGTTAAAATATATTTTATATTAAAATAATAAAATAAAAATAGTAAGTATAAATATATATTTTTTTATATAAAATCAAGTGATAAATTTAATAGAATTATGAATCCGATGAATACGTGAGAATTCAAATCTAAATTAATATTTTTAAAATTCAATTTGATTTCATAAAATTCGATCTGATTTGTTTAATATCAAATCTAGATTTATATTTTATGATTTGATTCAAATCCAATATACTTAATTATAGCATAGTGCAAGAATAAATGTTAGCAGTTGTTTATATAATATTAGTGAAACATGTTTGGACATAACCTTGTTATATATGCTTTTGTACCATTATGTTATTATTATTAGTAATGGTTTGGTTATCTCTTAAGTTGATTTTTTTCTTCTTTTCAATCTAAAAAAATTGATTATTATAATGTTTGGATTTCTTTTTAATGGCGAGAAGTTATTTCACCTTAAAAAAAGATTTACCGTACATTTATTTTAACTAAAATTTTTTTCCTTCCAATAAAAAATTATTATATTAGGTTTTTTTGGATGAAAATTACCGATGCTCCTTACTATATTTTTCAAAAAGAATTAATTAATATCATCAATATCAAATATAATTTTAATTAAAAATTTATTTTAAATTTCAATTAATAAAATTAATTTACTTGTGTTTGTTTCGGAATATTTTGTTTCGTTATTTCAATTTAATATTCACATATTTTGGGAAGAGTATGCTTCTCCTTCAACTAATTTTTTTAATTAACCAAAGCCAACTTTCTTGTTTTTATTTTCATTTTTTTTTATATATTTTACATTTAATTTTTTATTAATTTTCTATAGTTTAATGTTTTTTTTATTTAGAGTTTATATTGTAAATTTTAGAAAATAAAAAGAGAAGAAACACAATTTTAATTTAGACTCCTCATTCAATAAATCTTTTTTTTTTTTTTATAAACTTAGTTTTTGAATGTTTATTAAAAATTTAAAAACAATTATATTAAATTGCCTAAATATGACAAATATAGAGTTGAATTTATCTTAGCACCCCTTCAAAGAGGTACGTGGCTGCCAGTTATCCATTTTGGATAACGACGGCTGTAACCAAAACATTCCCTTTTCTAAAACATCAAACAAGTGAAAAAAAATTAATAAATTGTTTTATGTTTAAAAAAAATCAATAAATTGTTTTTATAAGAAGTGGGTCCCACAAATTAACTCCTACCAACCATGCGCCAAAAAAAAGAAAAAAAAGTTATTTGTTTTATGCTTTATAAGAAGTGGGTTAATTGAGGTGGCTTAGCTGATAAAACCGTATTTCTCGGAGGCCCCGCCCTAACATTTGCTAGGAAGGTGCCGTGCTGCCCAATGAGCGTTAGATGTCACTTACATTTTCTTTTGCCTTTTCTCCACTGAAAGTAATCTTCTTTGCGGTCTGAGGAAAAGAAAAGGCAAAACAAGGAAATCCAGGAAGTTTACCGGTACGAGCTTTTGATCTAAAGAAACCGGAAAAAAATTAGAAATCATGGAACAAAAAACAGCAAGCGAAGATCGAGGGTTTAAGAGTGACAAAGACAAAAAATCCGGAGAGGCATAGGAGGATCTTGAAGTAGTTGCGAAGAGACGAAAAGAAGGAAAAATTGGCTTGGCTAGATCCGGCGCTTCGCTATTTAAATCTTCCCGAAAGGTTTGTTTCTGCTACTTTCGCATAGAACTTGTAGAAATTTGGCCTTTTTTTTTAAGTAGAATTACGCTCCAGATTGAAATTGCCAAATTAATTTCTTCCGTTGCTAGCTCTCTTTAACTTTTATTTCATGTTTGAACACAGGAGAAGGCTATGTATAAAATGGCATGGAAATTAACCAATTGCTGAACCATCCTAGAAGGGATCGGTATTAATTTATTGCTATTGGGATTTCCATGGCTTCCACCAGCTCTTCTTCTCCACAATGGGAGTATGATGTGTTCCTTAGTTTTAGAGGCAAAGACACCCGGAATAACTTTACTAGCCATCTATATTCTAATCTGGAAGAGGCAGGAATCGAGGCATATATAGATGATAGTGAGCTAGAGAGAGGAGAGTCCATCGAACCTGCTCTATGGAAGGCCATCGAAGATTCAAGGTTTTCAGTCATTGTATTTTCAAGAAATTATGCTTCTTCACCATGGTGCTTAGATGAACTTGTCAAGATTGTTGTGTGCATGAAAGAGATGGGGCACACTGTTTTGCCAGTTTTCTATGATGTGGATCCATCGGAGGTAGCTGAGCAGAAAGGGAATTATAAGGAACTGTTCATTGAGCATGAACAAAATTTTAGAAATGATTTGGAGAAGGTGCGCAGATGGAAAGATTGTCTCGCTACAGTTGCCAATCGATCTGGTTGGGATGTACGGAATATGTAAAGCTGATTTTTTTTGTTTTTTTTTGGAAGGAGTCATTACCACCTCATAAATATTTTTCATCATTTTTTTAATTAATTAGAAAAAAATGGGTATGCGAAAAAGTTTAGAAAAAGTTGTCTTCAAAGTGATTTGTCTTTAATATATATATATCATTAAGAAATTCTTGAAGGGTTATTTAGTATTATATTAATAGGTTACTTTAACGTTGGTGATTGAGTTTTCATGATGAACTTGACAAGTGACGATATATAAAAAATGTTTGCCAGTGATTGTATGTCAAAGGATATTTTTTAATGTTGATGCAGCCATAATTCAACTAAGATTAATATCATTTCTTTCTTTGATATGTTTTAAAATGTTTCGAATTCAAACTTTTTTAAATAATAATAATAATAATAAAAGATCTTCGAGATAGAAAGGTAAATAATTGCAAGATAAATTGATAAATTCATATTTTATAGGGCAATTAAGAAGTGTTAAAGCAATTAAACTTTTGGTTGGGAAATAACTGAGAGTAATTTGTTCAATTTATTATTATATAATAATATAATTTTTCAATATATATTTATATCTTTAATTGAATTAATTTTATTTTTTAAAATACTTTAAGTTTTTAATATATTTTTTGGTAAGATTTTCAGGTCAAATGATTAAAATTAGTTACATGGTTTATAAATTGCTATTTTCTATTCTTAAAATGTCATGTGACAATATTTTATTGTTTCTTTTCCCTTTCTGTATGACCTGATTTTTGCACACTGCATGATTAATGTTTTTGCTCCTGTTATGCAGGAATGAGTCGGAATCTATAAAAAAGATTGTTGAATATATACAGTACAAACTAAACGTCACTTTGCCAACAATTAGCAAAAATTTAGTTGGAATAGATTCTCGTCTAGAGGTCTTGAATGGTTATATACGCGAAGAAGGAAATGGGATTCCCTTTATAGGGGTTTGTGGAATGGGTGGTATAGGCAAAACGACTATTGCAAGAGTCATGTTTGATAGGATTCGTTGGCAATTCGAAGGCAGCTGCTTCTTAGCGAATGTGAGAGAAGTTTTTGCTGATAAAGATGGACCGTGTCGTTTACAGGAACAACTGCTTTCAGAAATCTTAATGGTGCCTGCTAATAAAGTATTGGATTCTTCTAGAGGGATTAATTTGATAAAGCGAAAGTTGCGGCGTAAAAAGGTTCTTCTTATTCTTGATGATGTAGATGATCAAGAACAGCTAGAAATGTTGGCTGCAGAGTATGGATGATTTGGTCCAGGGAGCCGAATTATCATAACAAGCAGAAATAAAAAAGTGTTGGAGAAACATGGTGTTACTAGAATCTATGAGGCCGATAAATTAAATGATGATGATGCTCTTAAGTTATTTTGTTGGAAAGCTTTCAAAGAAGAGCAACCTGCCGAAGATTTCTGGGAAATGTCCAAGCAAGTTGTGGGTTATGCTAATGGCCTTCCATTAGCTCTTGAAGTCATAGGTTCTTTTTTGCATGGAATAGGTATACTTGAATGGGAAAGTGCAATTAATAGAATGAATGACATTCCTGACGGGAAGATTATTGATGTGCTTCGCATTAGTTTTGATGGCCTCCACATATTAGAGAAGAAAATATTTTTAGATATTGCTTGTTTCTTTAGGAGGATGAAAAAAGATCGAATAACAAGGATACTTAATGGTTGTGGTTTCCATGCAGATATTGGAATAAAGACTCTTATTGACAAATCTCTTATCAGCGTCTCACGAAATGAAATATGGGTGCATAATTTATTACAGAAAATGGGTCAGGAAATTGTTCGTTGTGAATCTCCTGAAGAGCCTAGAAGACGCAGTAGATTGTGGGTATACAAGGATGTCTGCGATGCACTGCAGGACAAGACAGTGAGTAGTTGCTATAGAACATTATCCTTAAGATTTCATGAGGTTTATTATAATCTATGCTCTATCTCTGCATTATAATCGTTGTTTACTTGTCCTTCCTTTTGGTTGATAGGGGAAAATAGAAAGCATATTCGTGGACATGCCAAAAAACGAAGAGGCACAGTGGAACATGAAAGCCTTCTCAAAAATGAGCAAGCTGAGATTGCTCAAAATCCACAACGTGGAGCTTTCTGAAGGACCTGACTATCTTTCAAATGAGTTACGATTTCTCGAATGGCATGGTTACCCTTCCAAATCATTGCCAACTTTTTTCCAGGTGGATAATCTTGTTGAACTTGACATGTCATACAGTACTATTGAGCAATTAGGGCATGGATTTAAGGTGAGACCCAATAATTTGAGGGCCTTTGTATTTCTTTTTCCATATATATATATAGTATTTATTTTTTTGCAAGTCACAGTAAGAATAAAAAACATCAGAAGGCATCAAAGGCCAAATGGTGAAACAAAAGAGCATAGAAAGCTGCAAAATAATTGCAACAAAAGAAATAAGACAAGGATACAACAGTAACATTTAATTTCTTTTCTCTCCTACCTTTGATTGCAGAGATCAATTAACCTAAAAATCATCAATCTCAGCCACTCAATAAACCTGACCAACACTCCGGATTTTACTGGAATTCCAAATCTCTCGAGTCTGATTCTTGAAGGCTGTACAAGTTTGTTTGAGGTCCATCCATCACTTGGACATCACAAGAAGCTTCAACTCGTGAATCTTGTGGACTGCAATAGTCTTAGGATTCTCCCAAGCAACCTTGAAATGGAATCCCTAAAAGTTTGCAGGCTTGATGGCTGCTTGAAACTTGAGAAGTTTCCAGATATAGTAGGAAACATGAACTGCTTGAGGGAGCTTCGTTTGGACGGGACTGGGATTGCAGAACTATCTTCATCAATTCATCATTTGGTTGGGTTAGGTCTATTGAGCATGAACAATTGTAAGAACCTAGAAAGTATCCCGAGTAGCATAAGTGGTTTGAAATCCCTTAAAAAACTTGATGCGTCTGGCTGCTCTAAACTTAAAAGCACACCAGAGAATTTGGGGGAAGTAGAAAGTTTGGAGGAGGTTGATGTAAGTGGAACTTCAATAAGACAACCGCCAGTGTCCATTTTTCGTTTGAAGAATCTCAAAGTATTGTCTTTTGATGGATGCACAAGAATTGGTGTAAATCCCACGGATAAAGTGTTGCCTTCTTTGTCTGGTCTGTGTTCTTTAGAAGTGCTGGATTTATGTGCTTGCAATCTAGGAGAAGGGGCAGTTCCTGAAGATATTGGCTGCTTATCTTTATTGAGGTGTTTAGATCTGAGCAGGAATAACTTTGTTAGCCTGCCTAAAAGCCTAAATCAGCTTTCTAGGTTGGAAATACTTGCCTTGGAGGATTGCAGGATGCTTGAATCATTGGCTGAGGTTCCATCAAAAGTTCAAACAGTAAATTTGAATGGTTGTATACGCCTAAAAGAAGTACCAGATCCAATAAAGCTAAGCAGTTTGAAAAGATCAGAGTTCAGCTGTCTTAACTGCTGGGAATTATACAAGCATAATGGTCAAGACAGCCTGGGATTGACCATGCTTGAGAGATACCTCCAGGTCTTCTCGTCATCATACCCCCACCTCTCTCTCTCTCTCTCTCTCTCTGACTTTTTTTGTTTTATGGTGCAGGACTGGTCTAATCCAAGACCTGGATTTGGTGTTGTTGTTCCAGGAAATGAAATTCTAGGCATGGGGTTTGATCATCATAGTAAGGGATCTTCAATTAGTGTGCAAGTGCTTTCTAAATATTTGGATTGTGATGGTAGTGGGCCGATGGGGTTTGCTGCATGTGTTGCATTCAGTGCATACAATGAAAGTTCTTCTCTCTTTTGTCATTTTAAAGCCAATGGAAGAGAGAATCATCCTTCGCCAATGTGTATAAGTTGCAACTCTATCCAAGTTCTGTCAGATCATCTTTGGTTATTCTATCTTTCTTTTGATTACCTTAAAGAGCTCAAAGAATGGCAGCATGAATCCTTCAGCAACATTGAGTTGTCGTTTCATTCTAATGATCGAGTAGAGGTGAAGAATTGTGGTGTCTCTTTGATATATAGTCCATCATCACAATCATCTGCTGCCAGTTCATCATCACAAGCATCTGCTGCCAATTCATCATCACAATCATCTGCTGCCAGTTCATCATCACAATCATCTGCTGCCAGTTCATCATCACAATCATCTGCTGCCAATTCATCTGGATTACAATTGTGGAAAAGGTAATCTTACTTCCTTTTCCTTCCCTCGACTAATCATCCACTTCAAGTAAACGAAATTGGAAATACTGAAATGTGTTGCATTTGGAACTTATGTTAATGAAGATAGAAAGTTAAAGGAGAAATGTGATGGTATTGAAAGATTAACTATTAATACTTACCTAGAGATAGATAAAATAATAATAATAATAATCATAATAATTTGAGTTCAATTGAAAATATTTTTATGGCTTTTAATGTATATTGATGTGATTTCTCTCTTATTTATTTATCTATATCTTTCTTTAAAATGGATATTTTGAGCAACTATTGGTAATTATTTTTGAAGCATTTTAAAATTTCTAGAAAGGTAAGCACTCCGATAACTAAAATTGGACTAGTACTCAATAAAACAATAAAAGAAAACAAGTATGAGAATAAAGGTTTGGCCCTTTAATAACGAGAAACCCCACCCAAGTCTTCAATAAGCCTTTATATTTGTTTTTAATGACTAAAATAACGTTACATACATTACTATTTTAGATCCATTTTAAATTCCTCTAGTTCTTGAATATCACTATTTCTTTAGGCTTCGTTAATGGGCTTTAGTCACTTGTATAGATTCCCATTACTTTCCTATCAATGAAGTTCTATCTCTTCGTTTCTGAAAAGAAAGCAATATTCTTCCAGCTGCATTTCTAGCAACGCCAAGAATGAATTAATTTCCCCAGTAAGCGAAAGAAATCTTCTTGACCCAAATAACATTTAATTCTGCAAAATATTACATGGCCATTCCTTAAGAGCTTATGCTATCTTGTTCCTCTGTGGTTTTCTTTTTGTTTGCAGATTTATCAGTGGACTAGATTTGGCTAACTTAGTGGTCAATGCTGATCTGCTCCAGCTTTCATGTGGTGCCATAAAGGATCTACTCGCAGAAACCAATCAAGATAAACAATTGTCCGAGACTCTGTCAGTAAGACACAAACTTGTTAGCCAATCAAATTGTACCATCATAGCTTTTGCCACTTCGCCTCTCTTTACAAAAGACCATATTTTACGAGTAGGAGATCTGGTTTCATCATCAACTCTCAAGGAGCAGGAGTTTCCTCTCTTTGACTTCTTATGCTCCAAAGGCAATCCGTCCTTTTCCATTCATAGAGCTGCAATAAACCTTTTTCAGGCCTATTTTCAGGAGCTTTCTCAACTCAAAGCCCAGGTACTCTACTTCCCTACCATCTTCTGTATCTTTTTCCGTGTATGCCTTTACGTGGGTTTTATTTTTGTTTTCATTAATGTAGAATATCACATAGCCATTAGTTCTGGTGAACTGGGTCACATTCATTTTCTATTAATATCTACCTCCATCGTCAAAAAGAGTAAACTATTACGTAGTCTAGATATTTTTAGTAGATTAATTAATTAATCCCTTTGGTTTTAAGAATCCAATATTAAGTCCCTGTATTTTATATCTATTTATAACTCATTTCCTCCCTTGGTTGTCTGTTACAATTTAATTGGGTTTAATAGCAAATTTTGCCGTCATTTTATTGCAATTTGATAATTTCATGTCTTTAGTATCAAATTGTGTAATTTGAATCTCAAACTACTGGTTTTGGACAAATTTGATCCATGTTTCTAATTACTTTTATAGATGACGATCAGTCGAGTTAACGAGTTAATTGGAATGCTAAAACGACGTCATTTTGACATTCCGTAATTAATTATGTTTTTTTAAATGTTTATAATATACAATGAGCATTGAAATGTTTATGATATAAAGTATAATATTTTATAAATTAAAATGAGCATAATTAAGAGTTGACCCTTCTAATTTTATAAACTATAAATTATTAAAAAAAATAACTTTTATAATATTTTATAAAAGAAAGTTTTTTAAAAAAGTTCAAAATTAGGCGGTTAAAAATATTTATAATTTTTTTTTATAAAATTTATAAATGTTTATAATATTTTATATATAAAAAAAAAGATAAATGATTAATGCAGTAATGTTTTATAGTAATTATATCCAAGACCTTGGGTTGAATAATGTACTATATATATCATGTCAGATCCATAATTTGAAGACTGGTGAATTACTTGTGAAATCTCAGTTGATTGTTACTGGACACTCTCTTGGAGGATCAATTGCTTATCTCTTTACCTTATGGTTGTTAGACAACATCAAGCAAACATCCAAAATAAATGAACTCCCCCTCTGCGTCACTTTTGGTTCACCACTTATAGGCGACCAAGGCCTCCAACTTGCCATCTCAAGACGTTTAAAATGGAATTATTGCTTTCTACACGTTGCTGCCAACAAGGACCCACTTCCAAGAATTTTCATAACTTCACAAGCTAATCCTCAGTACATGCCTTTTGGTACGTATTTCTTCTGTTCTGAGTCAGGATGCAACTGTGTTGATGATCCTGAAGTGGCTTCAAGGTTGTTGAAAAACACAATAAGTCAAGTTTCCACTGAAGAAATGGGGATTGATGATTATAGCGGAATAGGGAAGCATCTGAAGTCGAGGCTTATCATGGGGGAAAATTCACAACTTGCCCAACCAGTTACACCTCCATTTCGGCAAGGGATAATTTTACAACTGAAAGCAGTTGGAGTTGAAATAACAGCTCAGGTAACTAGCACTGTTTTTCCAAATAAAACTATACTTGCACAATGTTTCTTCACAACATTGATTGATGAATTTCGCCAACAATTCACTTTTAATATTTTGGTGATGCTAAGGTCCTTCAAAACTTCAGGTCAAGGCATAACTAGAGTGATCTAAGATCAATTGGCAATTATATTTCCCTTTAATAATTCCCTAAGTTCACTTTGTTTTTTGCTATCTTCTTCTCGTTTTTCGTATAACTAATGGCAAATCCATTTAAATTCAGCAGCAGCAGAACAACAGCATCAATGATCTTATATCCGAATTGGAAAGGCACATAAATCGAATGGCACTACAAATGAAGGCTACTGACCCAAAAAGTCTAAACCAAGTAAAGATAAAAATGGCCTACCTAGAATGGTACAAGAAAGACTGCAAGACTAAGGGGATAGGCTACTATGATAGTTACAAGAACCTGTACTCTATCAGCGACAGAGAGGTTACCAGGCACAAGAAAGTTCTCGTCAGTTACTGGAAAAAATTGGTGGAGGATGCTGAGCAAAAACCCCAGAAAGAAGGAGGGGAGACATGGCTTTTTGCTGGAACAAATTATAGAAGAATGGTTGAACCGCTTGACATTGCTGAATACTACAGACAGACAGGGAAACAAGACTATAAAAATAATGGAAGATCAAAACATTATATTCTGCTTGAGAAATGGCAAAAGGAGCATACAGAAAAACTTGCAGGCCCGCCAAATGATAAGAAGAAACAAAGTGGCGCCAGTAGCCTTACGGAGGATTCTTGCTTTTGGATGAATGTGGAGGAGGCTCTCATTTCATGCAAATTGTTGAAGGATGAAACGTCCAGTACTGCAGATAAACAATCAGCGAGAGAGTTTCTGAATATGTTTGAGCAATATGTGATGGACCAAATGAATAACTATGCGGTATCCCCTGAAATTTTCTTGGAGAGAAGCAGTTTTATGAAATGGTGGAAAGATTTTCAGAACATGATAGAAACATCCCATGATTCTCCTCTCAGTGACTTCATGAAGAATGGCAGATATTGCGAATATGAAAAAGGGAAGTTCTAGACTTTTATTATTCAAGATGTTATAAAATGTTTTAGGTTCTTATGGATTATATTACACCAAAAGAATGTGTAATTGCTGTTAGACAAAATAACAAATGGTACCGTACTTCTTTGTTTATTTTAATTTTTTTGTTCAAAACAGTGTAGTATTCTTCCACTCCATAACATTGTTGGTTAGAATATGAGAAGGAAAGGATTTTAAGTTGGTGTAGAACTCAAACAACAAATACAAGTTTTTTTTTTTTCCTTCAAAAAATTCCTGCTTGTCCTCATTCTTAATTAACAAACATTTTATTTCAAACTTGCTAGAGAGTTCTAGAATAACAAAGATCTAATTTCTGGAGAAGCTAAAAATGATTAGTTTTATTACTACAATTGGCCTTTTAAATTTTTTACCAGATATCAAGAGTAAGCCATCGCCTGTTCATTTTGCGCGTAGAATTGATCAGCGAGTAAAATGTTTGGAGCCAAATTTCGCTTTCCTATCACTACAAGCAAAGGATGAAGTAATGGCTCGAAGATCTCTTGGTGCGATGAGAAGAAATTTCTTCTGGGGATCACCTAAAGGCGGGTGGCCTTTATTGCCATGTATGGTCCTTCCTGCAACAAATCGAATTCTTGTGAGATTAAGAGAGAGAATTGTTATGCATCATGTATGATTTTTCATAAGCTACAGGAAAGTGAATTCTCACATGTGCGTACTGATGCATGTTAGTAGAAGAATTACAAGTCATGTTCGAGAAAATATGAGAAATCAATATTTATCTCATCATGTTTTGTAGTTTTATCTTTCACAGAAAAAGCGAAGGAGACACTGCAACCTAATTTTTAGGCCAACTTTAGGCCATTGATTACTATCAAATTCAATACCCTTTCGTTGGAGGGGTAAGTAAAATCTCAACAGACATTTTGCCACGTCTTTTCATCCTCGTACAGAGGCCACTCTAATCTCTGCATTTTTTACTATTTTATCGGATGTCCATGAAGAATACTATGCTACTCTCTCCTCTGAATGACAAAAGCTTGACTCTCTATGTAAGAAATTGATGTGGGATTCAACTACCAGTTTATTAGACTCCAACCTTGACCAAATGTAGCAAAATCTTTCTTTTACCATCTCGATAGTTAAGAGCAACTCAAAGGCCCTTGCAAGGAAACAATCTGTTCCTGGCTTTCTGCTGTTCTAAATAGACAAAATACCACTAAGACTTGACAAAAACACAAGACCATGTTTACTCGAAAATGTGAAGACAAACAACATTCTAAAGACTGGAAGCTGAACAGGTCAAACTATTGAAAATTGACATTGGTAACAGCACATGCATCATTTATCATATCAAGTTGGATACTGAACTTCTCAACCATATATCAAGAAAGCAAAGTCTTCATACATAGATTGAATGCCATATGTTTTCAGTCAGGACTGGCCTCCTCAAGGCGTGGAAGCAAGGGCGTTGGCATAAGTCCTACTCTTGTCATCTAAGAATGAAAAAAAGAAAAAGCAAAAACCTTAACAACTTAAGGAGGACCAAATATGGTTATCAAAGCCTCTGTCCATTTTACCCCATGCTATAGAATATGATGCCAAATGTCTTAGACAACCTCATCTTGAAGCCCCAGACAGAATTGTAACAAAAGCGAAGGACAAGAAAATGAATTCAATAAGACCATATCAAATACATAATCCCAGGCGAAACCATGAAAATCAAAAATCACCGCAAGAGGTGAGTTCTGCAATAGTAGCAGTGGATGTGGCTAATTGGCAGTAATAATAATGCATTCCTGCCAACTCATGGCCTGAAAAATCCTCAAGGAAAGTCCTGGAGGACGCTCAATGGATGAAATATCCATCCTCTTTGAATCAGTCCATATTTAGAAGCTGCTCTAGGGTGATTTTTTGGCTAGCTATAAATATGATGATTTCAAGAAGACCGGAAACTCTCTCCATAAGTAATAAGATCTAAGGTAAGAGCAGCATTGAACCAAGAACGTATGTTCTTACCTTAGATTAGATGCAACATGAAGCGTACCGAAGTCTCTGCAATCCAGAATTGCAATCAAAACCATTCACAAGCATCAACTGATAGAATTACAGGTATCTAAATGGAAAACTATACATCTTAAAGAGCTAAAAACCCTACCTCTAATTCTGAACAAGGAGAGTATGGAACCTGGATCCACGCCAAGCAGCCTACACGGCGTACATTGAGCAAAGAAGCGGGTAATCCTCCTAAACGGATGCAGCAATTAAATGTAAATAAGAGAGGATCCCCTTTTAATTTTGCCTCAGCCAGGGGAGTCTTCATCAATGCATAATACCGCATCTGCCCCTAAAAAACCTACTCCCCTCATCCTAGCCAGGCCCAATTTTCCAAGAGACAAACCCAAGCCCATCTTACCCAGACCTCTAATGAGATACAGCCCACCGATAAAACCATAAACACTGCCCAGCCCAGTTATCCCCATTCAACTCGACAGCCCACACAGGAGGCCACCCAATAGAAACCCAAACCATCCGCAATCCGACAAACACTAACCTATACCACTTGAATGAAATACCCAAATTGATTCAAGAACCCTAGCTACTGCCCGTTCCCCTCTTGCCCCAAAACGGAACCCAGCCACTAACGCAGAGGCAAAGAAAGATAGCAAAGCTCGTGCAGAAATTGTCAATCTGGACAAGTCCGGCCGCAATACCGTGGTGATTATTGCAGAGGAGGCGATGGAGACCTCACCAACTCTGACCTTTCAAGCCGTTCATGTGAACAGTGACGTAGAGGAGGAAAATGATGAAGAACTCATGCCTGTAACTCCCGAGAGTGGTCCTGACATTCCACCAGACCCAAAGCCACCCAATTCTCACTCGTCCAGGCTATCAACCACAAAATCTCTTCCGCAAAAATCCAGCATTCCAATCTGAAAAGCTGCTTACAAGATTGGTACTCCAGATTGGTTTAAATACCTGTGACCTGATGGACCTTGGCTTCTCAGGACCAAAATTTACATGGAAGAGGGCTGTACTCCAAGAAAGGATAGAAGGAGTGGTCTGTAATGCTAGAAGGGTGGTCAGAATCTTCTTGAGACGGCTGACTCCTTTGCTGATGATGTTAGGAGATGGAACCGAGATGTTTTTGGGCATGTGAACAAGAGAAAGATGCATTTATTGGCCAGATTAGAAGGTATTCAAAAGGCTGCTGATTTGAATCATAATACATTTCTTCTAAATCTGGATCGAGAGCTTCGACTGGAACTACAACAAGTCCTTTTACAGGAAGAGCTAATGTGGTACTAAAAATTCAGAAGTAAATGGATAAATTATGGAGACCGTAACACTGCCTATTTCCATGATACTACAGTTTCAAATCGAAGAAGAAATAAGGTGGAGTGCTTGCGAGATAATATGGGTAATTGGTGCTCTGATGTGGAGGTTTTGAAGAATACGGCTAGAGATTATTTCAGAAAACCCTTTACTCAAGACCCTCGCACTATGATAGATTTTTCGATTACAGATGCTTTCCCTCCTCTGTCTAGCCGGGCCTACGAAGCTTTATGTCTGCCAATATCTGACACTGAAATCAAAGATGCATTATTTGATATGGGGCCTTTCAAAGCTGCTGGAGTGGATGGTTTACAGGCTATATTCTACCAAAGTCAGTGGGATACAATGGGAACATCAGTTTGTGCTTTCATGAAACGAATCTTCAATGAAGGGTGCTGGTATGCTGGGCTGAATCACACTCTCATCTCTCTTATACCGAAGACAGGCAGACCGGAAACAACGGCTCAGTTTAGACAGATTGGTCCATGTAATGTTACTTATAAGCTTATTATGAAACTTATTGTGAACAGACTTGAGCCGCATCTGTCTGGCCTCATTGCGCCTACTCAGAGTAGTTTTATTCCTGGGAGACACTTCTATAACATCATTGTCTCTCAGGAAGTTCTACATTCTGTGAGGAGAACGCAAGGTAAAAGGGGTGGTTAGCTATCAAAATTGACTTGGAGAAAGCCTATGATAGACTTCGGTGGGATTTTATCTTGGATACACTTCATGACATGAGTCTCCTAGGCCATCTAATTTCCTTAATCATGAAATGTATCTCTAGTTCTTCTTTGCAAGTACTTTGGAATGGTGAGGCTATTGCATCCTTCACTCCTTCGCGAGGCATACGTCAAGGAGACCCTCTCTCACCATAAATTGTTATTGTTTGCTTGGAACGGTTAAACCAGCTTATTAATCAGGAAATTCAAAAGGGCATCTGGTAACCTATTCAACTCAGTTGGAATGGCCCTAAACTCTCCCATCTATTTTTGGCGGAAGACTTGATTCTTTTAGCAGAAGCTGAGTTATCACAGGTTAAGATTATTAACCAATCCTTAAATGCTTTTTGCTGCAGCTCGGGACAGAAAATTAACACTGCTAAAACCAAGGTCTTTTGTTGTTCTAATACTTCTTGGCAACTTGCCCCGTTTGCTGAGTATAGGTTTTGGATTTCAACTGACAAATGATCTTGGTAAATATTTGGGAGTTTCTCTGTTCCATGGTAGGATAAAGAAGCAGAATTACAGTTACCTTATTGATCAAATAAAGCAGAGATTAGCTGGTTGGCAATCAAAGTATCTGTCTCTAGCTGGAATAATAACTCTTGTTCAATCCGTTCTCTCAACTATACTGACTTGTACAATGCAAACGGCTAAACTCCCTGTTTCTATTTGTGAGGAGATTTATTAGGCTTGCCGTGTTTTTATTTGGGGAGCTTGACAAGGGGAACGGAAGACGCATCTAATCGGTTGGGATAAAATTTGTTCTTTGAAGTCTTGTGGTGGTTTGGGTATTAGAATAACCAGGGACAGTAATGATGTGATGTTGATGAAATTGGGATGTCATTTGTTGATGGATCAGAATAGTCTTTGGGTGCGGGTCATGCAATCCAAATATAACTTTGACCCAAAACTCATCCCTCATGTCCTAAAAGCTAACAATGGCTCCACTATTTGGAGAGGAATCTGTAATATTTGGCAGTGTATCATTCAAGTCCTATCATGGTCAATTGGAGATGGTAGTATTGCAAGATGTTGGCTGGATAGATGGTTTTTGCATGATACCCCTTTGATTAGCGTTGCAACTCAGCCAGTTCCAATTGCCGTACTATATGAACCCGTTAGTTCTTACATAGCTCGAAGTGGTCAATGAGCATGGACCAGGTTTCAACAATTTTTACCTCCATCCTGTTGTCTTCAAATTGCGGGTCTGTTGTGCCCTCATCCTTCTTTGGTTGATAACAAGATTATTTGAGGAGTTTCATCTAGCGGAATGTTTACAACTAAATCTGCCTACTCACTCATCCCTAGTGCGGCTTTTGTAACTGGAGAAATATGGAATCTTGTATGGCACTGGTCAGGCCCCCAACGGATTCGGTCTTTCTTTTGGCTGGCATGTCATGATCGTCTTCTTACGAATTCTCAACAATACAGACGTCATATGACAGCTGGTAGTTCTTGCTCAAGATGTGGGGGACTGGTGGAGAATACTCTTCATGTACTTCGGGATTGTCCTTCCGCTAAGCAGGTTTGGAAGTTAACCTCCATCCTTATCTGTGTTTCTGCTTTTTATGGTATGTCCTTACTGGATTGGTTGAAAACAAATTGAGTTCTTGCTCAAGATCATGTCTCGAATGCTTCTTGGAATATTTACTTTGGGCTAACCTGTTGGAGCTTATGGAGATGCGTAATATGAGCATTTTTAATGCCAATTTTGCTCTACCACACAATATTTTACATGATCTTTTTCCTCGTGTGGAAGAAGTCAAGAAAGCGGAGCTTGATCTACAAAGGTGTTCTGCTACAAAACCACAGAAATTAGAAAGAATGATATCTTAGGTACCTCTAAAATCAAAATGGATCAAGTTGAATACAGATGAGGAAAGAGTTTCTGCAGCTGGAGTTTGAAGAGACAATTCTGGTTCTTGGATTGGGGGTTGTGCTAAAAATATTGGTAGTTGTTCTGTTACAAGAGCTAAATTATGTGCTATTTACATTTACAGATGGCTTGGGATACGGACTTCAAAAAGATAAAATTAGAATCTGATTCTAAAGCTGCTATTCAATTAATTCAGAACCATTCAAATGCTCATATAGACAATGTTCATCTAGTCAGGGCAATCCGATTACTCCTTCAATTACCTTGGCACATACAAACTAATGTTTTTAGAGAGGTTAATTGATGTGTGGATTGGTTTAACAACTATACTCTCTTCTTGACTCTTGACTGTCACTATTTTTCAACTATTCTTTCTAGTTGTTTCTATATTGTTTTAGAGGATATATATGAGATCAGTTTCTCTTAGCTTTATTTGAGCTAGTTTGTTTAAGAGTTTTCCTGAAAACTTTCCTTTAAAAAAAAAAAAAACCGCTTCATTTTCGCAATTTTGGCGAGAGAATTTATCCCTAAAGGATAAAATCTCAAAATGAGCTCGCTAAATGAAACTGCTAGCAGTCAAGTATTAAGCACATTACTGAAATAAAACCAGCTTAATTAATTATGGCTACAAATGCGACTAATCCATAATTCATTAACAGAGAGAAAGGAAAAGTGAGTGAAATTAAACAACTAAAACCCTGTATGATTGTTATTCATCACTGATAAGGGTTCCAAATATGAACAATTGGATTAATTCATGATAAATAAATAGATGCCAGAAATAAAGATTAACAAAGACAAAAAAAGAAAATCTGAACCTTTTTTTGATTTATGCGTGTCATCCTTGGCAAGTGCAATCTTAATTTTCTGTGTCGTTCCAGCTTTATCAGTCTGCTTGCTCCTACTCATAAAACCTTCTCTTTTCTTGTAACTAGTCGACAAGGGAGTCATTTCGATCTCAACTAATAAACATCACTCCTTTGGCATCCAGTTCTACACGCCATCTTATGTCCCGTTTTCTCTCTCTCTCACGTGAGACAAGATCAATTTGGATTTGCTATTGATGGTAAATGGGCTTAAAAGGACAAAAACTAAAGCCCGTGGAGCTTTAATCGGGAGGGAAATGTGGTTTTGGTTTACCTCGGCTTTTTCATTTCATAAACTTTAGTTTACCTCCTGAGGGTTGAGGTTTAAGGGGTTTTTTTTTAAAAAAAATTCCTGATATTTTATTTGTATTAATTAATCTTCTAACTTTTTTATTAAATTTTCAATTCTTTCCTTTCTTTTTGTTAGAATGCAACATAAAAATTATTTCGAAACTTCATTTATTAGTTAAATTTTTTTAATTGAAATGATCTTTTGACATGATATTAGAGCTTTGATACACGAACAATTACGAGTTTGAATCTCATCACTCGCGTTTTCACTCTTTTAACTAAGCAAATAATAATGTGAGTCTCGTGCAAATTTCAACCCTAAAAGATTTTCCGAAACCTCATCCATCGATTAAACTTTAAAATTGAGATTATCTTTTGACATGTTTATTAAACTAACATAATTAATGATGCTACATTTTTTATATTTCAATTGATTTCTTAAATTTATTTAAAAATCTTTATAAAGCATGCATTCCTTAATTGTATTAATTATCTTTTTTTTTAATTAGGATTTTTTTTTTATGTTTTATTGCATATTTATCAAATTTATAAAATTTTAACATATAAAAAATATTAACAAAAAAACACAAACTCAAACAATAAATTTTGTATATTTTAATTAAATTGTCACGATCTAATACTAGGTTAATATAGCTTCTTAATAAAAGAAAAAATGTTAATAGAATTTGGTATTTTCTTTTTCTATTTTTTTTCGAAAAAAATACTTAATTGTGTAAAACATAAAATTTAATATAAAAAAATTAATAATATTTATAAACTATTTTTTTTTTCAAATCATAATTGAAATTTGCATATTAATCTTCCAAATTGTATTAAAATTCATAAACTCAAACTAACAACTAACAATGTGGTATTTTATAATTGAAATAATACTATTTTCTATATTTTCTTTCAAAGTTTGATGAGAAAAATTTTATAAATTTTAAAATTATTGAAAAATAAATATTTAATTGAGAATTTTTTAATATTTTAGAAAATCAATTCAAACACACACACACACATATATGTTGAGAACAACCATGTTAAAAATAAAATTTGAATTTGAGTTCTGAAATTTTTTTATTAATTTTGAGAATTTTAAAACTTTTATTTTTTTTTCAGATTCAGCTCTTTTTTTAATTTTCTGTCATTTATTTCAAAAAATAATAATTACATAAATAGTTTTGTAATAAAAATCATTCAATGAGATTTATGTAGCGCTTCTAAAAAAATTAGGATCATTTCGTGGTTGAGTTTCTATATTTTTAATGTTAAAAATAAACAAATGTAGTTTTCAAATCTGAATAAATTTGTAATTTTTCTACAAAATGGATAGAAAATGTTTTTTTAACTTGTGTGTAAAATTTCAGATCAAAATATAAAGAATTGATTTTTCTTTACAAGGAAAAATGATAGCTGAAAATTTTTGAATTGACTAAATCTTAAAAAATTAATAAAAATGTTAAAGGGCTCAGCTTTAAATGACTTAAAATTTAAGTTTGGTTAGACTTTTTAAGCCGAACATTTAATATAACATCATGAAGATACAGATTAATTAATTACCACTTATGCATTTAGTGTTAGCGAATGTCAAAAAGATCAATCACTTGAGCTAATAAGCTATGCACTCTTAGCAAAAGACTTGTGTTAGATCCATTTGCAACACACTATTTGCCTTTAGTGAGGCATAACCGAAATTGGGGGGTTTGGGCCTCCTTAGGTTGAAAAATGTGATGAATATAAATATTTAGTTTATCTATGTATTCTAATTAGAACAAGAAAATTTGATTTTAATCCATGACAGAGAATTTCTCAAAGCCAAGCATAATTATTTCTTTAAGCTAATTATAGCATAATATCCTAGTTGCCGCAGATAAATCTATAAAGTAAGTTTTATTATTTTAAAAATAAAAAATATATAGGAATAAACAAATTATATATATATATTTCATAACTGACTTTAAATATATCCTAGGAATATTTTTTTATTTGATCAATAAACATAAGAAAAAATACAATTAATTATTTATTTATTTAAATTAAATTAGAAGAATGTGCTAAATCAATTTGTATTAGAAGAGTGTTTATATCATATGAACATTTTTTATTTGATCAATAAAAATAAGAAAAAATGCAATTATTTATTTATTTATTTAAAATTAAATAACAAGAATGTGCTAAATCAATTTCATATTAGAAGAGTCTTTACTTTTAGTGAATGAGTTGATAAAATAAAAAAGGTAACCCTTAAGTTTTTAAAATACTTTAAATAATTAAGAAACCTAGGCATAAAATAAAAATTAATTAATGCTAATCCAGAGATTATATATATATCATAATTGGTTTTAAATATATCTCAGGAATATTTTTTATTTTGCACAAGAAAAAAGAAAAAATGCAATTAATTAATTATTTTAAAAAATCAAATTAGCTAAATTAATTTATATTAGAAGAATGTTTAAATTTAGTTAATGAGTCTATAAAAATAAAAATTAATAAATAATGAAAAAAATAAAATCATAAAAACAAAAATTTTATTTTGAAGTAAACAATAAAAAAAATAAAAGCATAAAGAAAAGGAGAAAAAAAAAAAAGAGGTTGGGCTGCCCCAGCCTGGACACAACCAGGCCACACGTCTGGGAGGGAAGCACAACCCAGCCATAAAACATACGGAGAGCCTTTTACAATAAAAATTAAATTTAAAAACTATTTTGTATAAGATTATAACTTGAAGGACGAAAATGTAAGAAAATGGACAAAATGATTAAAAAAACCCTTTTTTTTTGGAATAAGATTATAACGACGCCGTTTGATTCACTATCGCGTTAAAGTGAAACTATATCATCTTTTAGTTAATTTATAATAATAATTATAATATCTTAAGGAAAGACAAACAGCCATACGTTCGTTTTTCTCTCTGCTGCACAAAACTTCCCACTAGACTGTTTGTTGAAGAGATAATGACCAGCATGAAGCAACTAACCATGACTTCCAGAACTTGTTCATTCTCTTTCATCAAAAAAATAAAAAATAAAAAAATGTCAATTCTAAAGTTACAGTTTGATGGTTCAATTTTTAGTACGTTTACTATTTACTTATTGTATGCTGGAATTAATCTACATATCCTTCCGTAAATTAATTAATTATATTAGGGGTACCAGTTACACTACTTGTGCCTTGGGAAGAAAACATGACAATGATACCTACCAGCTAGTCAATGTTTTCTCCTGGCAGATGAATGGGCAAATTAAGCTGTCTTCTGTTGCCCAACTCCGAAACACAGAGTCACATTTTGTCAGTACGATGTTATCCTATGTATTCACTCTACTGCTACTCTCCAATGCCGTTGCATCAAAATCAATAATCAAGTCCCTACCTGGCTTCGACGGTAACCTTCCTTTCGTACTAGAAACTGGGTGAGTCTATACTATTCTTTTTTGGTGCTGGGCTTTGTGAAGTTTACCCTGTTTTGATTGTGATTTTCTGTATTTAGGTATATTGGGGTGGGAGAGTTGGAAGAAGTGCAGCTCTTCTACTACTTCATTGAGTCTGAGAGGTGCCCAAAAGATGACCCTCTTGTGCTTTGGCTCACTGGTGGCCCTGGATGTTCTGCACTCTCCGGTCTTATATATGAGATCGGTACATATATCTCTCCCATCTTTATTTATTATTTTTTGAAAAATAATTCATATATTCAATAACTGCAATCTTCTTGTCTTAGACATTTTTAGAATCTGAAAATAGAAATTGCTATATTCCTAATTCGTTTGGTCAAAAAAGGCTATGTTTAGAGTTTTGCTAATTATGGTTGATTATAGGTCCATTATCATTTGATTATGCAAAATCCAGTGGGGGAAACAAACCTGTTTTTGAATTGAACCCGTATTCCTGGACCAAGGTCAGAAATTTCTTCAGCCTTGAATTAATATTATTACCAATTGTACAACCAAATTTGATTGTTGAAATTCCCTGTCATGTAATTTAGAAGAGGCGATAATGTTGCAGATTGCCAACATAATATTTTTAGATGCACCTGTTGGTACCGGATTTTCCTACTCAACAACATGGCAAGGCTACCATGTTAGCGATACAACATCAACTGCAGAAACTTACGAGTTCTTAAGAAAGGTAGGAAAAAATATTTTAGAATGACAAAATATAGAAGTTCATGTCAAGGAAAAACGGCACAGAAGTTGATTTTTTTTCCTTCATATTTTTAGAAATAAATGCATAGTAGTAATGTAAAACAGCTTGGCTAATTAACATTTTGAGTTTGTGACATAGTGGCTTATGGATCACCCTAAGTCTCTTACGAATCCACTCTATATTGCTGGGGACTCCTATTCAGGCATCGTCGTACCTATCATCGTCCAGGAGATTTCTGATGGTACTTAACTTCTGTCCAAACACTACCTTAATTGTTTCTCAGGATATTCAACCACCATGGACACATCAGGGTTTGTTTTATTTTATTTTATTTCTTTGCAGGAAACAAATTGGGACATCAGCCAATAATGAACCTCAACGTACTCGATAAAGCTCTGAAAATCAAATGAGCATTATTTATATCAATTTAAGTCCACAATTGCCTTTATTTTATTCTACTCATTTATGTGCAGTATTAATTGCACTATAATTACACAAACTTTTATGAATTTTAATTTTTTTTAATACATCAATTTTTTTTTTTTTAAATTATCAATCTAATACTATCATCCAACTCTTATCGATTGCTCTTTTACTAATGACATGTCGTTTGTTCTAAACATTAAATTATCTTTCTTTTTTTTTTAAGAAAACTTTACCTCCCAAATTATTTTGTTATTTATTACAAAAATAAGGAAAAACAAGAATTTTAATTTTTTTCTTTTAATTTATTTTTAAGAAAGAAATGAGAAAATCATAATATACTATTTCGGATAAACAAAATAGAAGTGGTATAATTATAGTGTCATTATCCCTTTATTTGCGTTGTGGTTGACAAGAATATTCTTTGTGTTGAACTCAGGGTTATGTGCTTGGAAACCCAGTTACCGATGATGAGATTGACACCAATTCAGTAGTTCCTTTTGCTCACCTAAAAGCACTTATATCCGATAAACTCTTTGAGGTAACTTAGCTTCCCTCTCCTCGCTCTGCTCTTCACTCTCCAGCTAGTTCTTTATATAAGTAAAAATATTCTTGTGTTTTTTTCTAGTCCTTCAAGAAAAATTGCAAGGGTGAGTACTTAAATCCAAATCAAAGCAATGCATCATGTATGGAAGATATACTAGCCATCAAGGCGGTGAGTAATGAATTCATAAAATTGAAACTCAAACAAAACATTTTTTGGATCATGCATTAAGTTTATCAACATGAAAATTGACTTGTCTTATGAACTTATAGTGCATTGGAAAAGTTTTTACTGGACAAATACTGGAACCTTTGTGTAAGGAAGCATCTCCAAAACCAAAGGTATCAAAATGGGATCCAATGCTTCTCATAGATGATGACAGTGATATTCTGCTATTAAGTCCCCATATTCCTCGACCATGGTGCCGGGTAAATTGAACTGTTCCTTAATTTCTTTCACCTAAAAATTACTGCAAACAATTTTCTATAGCTATCAAAAGGTTGGTAATTAACCAGCTTATTGGTTTTGTAGCATTACAATTATGTATACATCTATATTTGGGCTAATGACAAAACTGTTCGAGATGCTCTTCATATTCGCAAGGTATGCTAGCTCCACAAAGCATTAGCATTCAGACTCAAGCTAATTCTAATGATGTGTGTATATGTACATATATAACGAAAACCATAACCAGGGAACCAAAAAGGATTGGAAAAGATGTAACAAGACCCTTTCCTATTTGAAAAATGTCGCAAGTGCCGTTGATTACCATCGAAACTTGACCAAGAAACCATATCGAGCTCTAGTTTACAGGTAATGTGATGCACAGATTATTCTGAATTTTCCAGTTTAGTGCAATTTTAACCATTGTTTCGACATGAATAGTGGCGATCATGACATGACTATCCCATATATTGGTACACATGAATGGATCGAATCTCTGAATTTGACGGTTAAGGATGATTGGGAACCGTGGTTTGTTGATGGTCAAGTCGCAGGGTTAGCATCCATCATTTTAGACCCTTTTTTTTTTCATTATTATATCTTTCTTTTTTTATTTACTATTTGCAATTCACCATCATCCCGCAAGATGTACTAATTTTTTTTTAAATTTTTTTCATTTTTAGATACGCAATGCTGTATGCATACAACGCATACGATTTGACATTTGCAACAGTAAAGGTAAGACTAGACATTAACTTATTCTACTCTACAATATTAAATTAGGATGGTGTTATTCTCATTCTATTTTTTGTTACTCTCACTTCATTATTTATTGCAGAAACTAAAATAATTTTATTTAATGTGTCTCTTGTATTTAATTAATACTTTTAAAATAACAAATTTCAATATTGTAGAGTAAATAATAAATAATGAAAAAAAACTAATTATTACTAATATTTTAGTATTTTTTGTGATGCAATGGCTTCACTAAATTCACTGCTCATGCATAATTAGGCATAATTATTTTTTAGTTGTACTAAATTTAAACTTATTTGGTCTGAAAATGAGTTTACCGGTCTACTAAAGGTTAAATATATTACGACACTATTTTAGTCTAAAAAGTAATAGATTTAATCTCAATTGATGCAAAAGCTAACTCGAAGATATCCCACTATCTATAAATATTATAAAAAAAAATAATAACTTCACTATTAAATGCATATTTTAGGAACTCAAAAGTATAGTAATTATAGATACCAATTCGTATTTGTCAAGTTAGATCCTCCACTATATATTTTTTTAAAAAATATATTATGTAAAGTATAAAAATTGAATCAATTGAAGATAAAATAATATCCTTGAAATATATTTTTTTTTGTAGTTTTTTCCCGTACATATAAAGTTTTTTTTTTAACTAAAAATTATAAAGTAATTAAGACACATATTCAATGTGGTCATATTAGTTACTGTACAAAACAATTATGCTAGCTAAAATATGTAATTATGTTTTTTATTTTGTGTGTAGGGAGGGGGTCACACAGCTCCAGAATATAGGCCTAGGCAGTGTCTCGCCATGATTGATCGGTGGTTTGCTTGCTATCCTCTGTAAAATCAAATAGAATCCTACTTGCGATTTTCTTTTAAGATGCGAAGTCAAATCTGCTTCCTGTTATCTCCCCTTCGAGAAAGCTTGATTGAGGATTTCCATCAATAATTCTTTTTACAGTTGCCACAACCTAGATCCCACAGAAAGACTCTTAGCACTCTAGAATACAAAAATAAATGTTCAGCTTCTAATTGACAATGGAAAACACAAATGAGAAGATCTCACTAATTAAAATAGAAAAACATAGGCGCTATCATACATAACAATCGGAAAAAAGAAAGCACTGCGAAAATCAAAACTTCAACAAAGAATAAAAAAAGTTTAGTTAAAAGGGACCTATGAAGGAGTACTTAACTCGACAGAGCAAAAACACATACAAATAAAAACACAATAGTAGTTTATAGAAATTCCAATTTTTTTTTTAATGGAATTACAGGACTGGGAGTGGAGAATAAAAGCAATATATATATAAACGAAGAAAAGGCCTTTAAAAAAAAAAAAAAAACCGCAGCATAGAAAAGTAAAAGGCCAAAAAAAATTCAAAATAGAGAAAAATAATAATAATTGTTTTCTTTTTGCGTTTTCCTGACTCAAAACCAAAGAGCATGAAAAAAGAAAAATTTATTTCCGTCCTCTCTATTGCATCTCTGCAGTTTTTTCGTAAACCAAACAAAGAGAGAGTCGTGCAAGAACAAATAAAAATGAGAGAGGTTAAAAAGAATGGAATGAAATTACCTGAGAAATTCCAAATTTTCTCCTCTATTTTCACTCCTGTGCTTCTATCAAGAACAAAAATAACCCCAAAAAATCAAGAAGGAGCTTTCATGGCCTGTTAATGATGCATGTATATTAACAAACTTAATTTTCATTTCGAGTTTTCTTTTTCTTTCTTATTGCAACCAAATAAAGAAAGAAAAGAAGAAAAAGAAAAAGAAACGAACATGAGAGAAGGCTAATTGCAGGCTAGCTAACAGCAACGAAGGGAGGTGGAAGGCTAAAATTTTTGTAGCTTTCTCATAAACCATATACATTGAGAGAGTCATGCAAGAACAAATAAAAGATAGAGAGGTTAAAAATAATGGCCAAATTACCTAAGAAATTCAAAAACCTTCGCCACTATTTTCACTCCTCTGCTTCTGTGGCAAGGAAAGGGATCGATAGATCAGAAATTAAATAATTCAAAAAAAAATTATGAGTTTAGTTTTGTGTTTGGGTTTGAGAGAGACGGAGAGAGAAGAGAAAGACAAAAAGATGAGGATCGAGGAAAATGGAGGTTTGATGAGATTGTGGTAAACAATGCTGTATATTAGGATTTAATGGCCATGATTTTTAGGGTTTGTAAATGAATTGTCAGGATCAAAAAAAGAAAAGAAAAGGAGAATGATAGAAAGTAATTTTTCTGGAATGGCCTCTTGAAACAAAAGTGGAAAGACGAAAATGAAGAAGCAGAAGACGTCAAAAATGGATAATAAGGAGGGCGACAAAGTAAATTCACAAATCATGCAATAACAAAAAGAAAAAAAATTGGAAGCAGGAGAGGACAAAAAGCCCAACAAAGCAAATGATTCAAAACAGTGGTGAAAAAAAGAGTAACTGATATACATGATTTTAAAATATATGTGAAAGAAAAGGCAATAAAATCGTGTGGGCAGAATCAACGTGGGTTATGCACATCAAGAAATCAACAGCCAGAATCGACAAAAAGGAGCACAAATAGTGGGGATGAGTCACAATCCACAGTGCTTTAAGTGTAGGTATACAATAAATGAATAGTAAATTCTTCTGTTCTTTTAGTTTTTTTTTTTTTTTTAATTCGTAATAATATAATTATAGTATCTTAAGGAAAGACAAAGAGTCATACGCGCATTTTTCTTTCTTTCCTATTCAAAACTACCCACTGGACTGTTCGGTGAATAAATATTGACCAGCATGAAGCAACTAACCATGCCTTCCGAAACTTGTCAATTCTCTTTCATCAAAAAAATAAAAAAATGTCAATTCTAAAGGTACAGTTTGATGGTTCAATTTTTAGTACGTTTACTATTTACTTATTGTATGCTGGAATTAATCTACATATCCTTCCGTAAATTAATTAATTATATTAGGGGTACCAGTTACACTACTTGTGCCTTGGGAAGAAAACATGACAATGATACCTACCAGCTAGTCAATGTTTTCTCCTGGCAGATGAATGGGCAAATTAAGCTGTCTTCTGTTGCCCAACTCCGAAACACAGAGTCACATTTTGTCAGTACGATGTTATCCTATGTATTCACTCTACTGCTACTCTCCAATGCCGTTGCATCAAAATCAATAATCAAGTCCCTACCTGGCTTCGACGGTAAACTTCCTTTCGTACTAGAAACTGGGTGAGTCATCCTATGTATTCTTTTTTTGGTGCTGGGCTTTGTGAAGTTTACCCTGTTTTGATTGTGATTTTCTGTATTTAGGTATATTGGGGTGGGAGAGTTGGAAGAAGTGCAGCTATTCTACTACTTCATTGAGTCTGAGAGGAGCCCAAAAGATGACCCTCTTATGCTTTGGCTCACTGGTGGCCCTGGATGTTCTGCACTCTCCGGTCTTATATATGAGATCGGTACATATATCTCTCTCATCTTTATTTATTATTTTTTGAAAAACAATTCCTGTGTTCAATAACTGCAATCTTCTTGTCTTGCACATGTTTAGAATATAAACATAGAAATTGCTATAGTCCTAATTCGTTTGGTCAAAAAAGGCTATATTAAGAGTTTTGCTAATTGCGGTAATTATAGGTCCATTATCATTTGATTATGCAAAATCCAGTGGCGAAAACAAACCTGTTTTTGAATTGAACCCGTATTCCTGGACCAAGGTCAGAAATTTCTGCAGCCTTGAATTAATGTTATTACGAATTGTGCAACGAAATTTGATTGCTGAAATTCCCTGTCATGTAATTAAGAGGCGATAATGTTGCAGATTGCCAACATAATATTTTTAGATGCACCTGTTGGTACCGGATTTTCCTACTCAAAAACATGGCAAGGCTACCATGTTAGTGATACAACATCAACTGCAGAAACTTATGAGTTCTTAAGAAAGGTAGGAAAAAATGTTTTAGAATCACAAAATATAGAAGTTTATGTCAAGGAAAAACGGCACAGAAGTTGATTTTTTTTTTCATATTTTTAGAAATAAATGCATAGTAGTAATGTAAAACAATTTGGCTAATTAACATTTTGAGTTTGTGACATAGTGGCTTATGAATCACCGAAAGTTTCTTACGAATCCACTCTATATTGCTGGGGACTCCTATTCAGGCATCGTCGTACCTATCATCGTCCAAGAGATTTCTGATGGTACTTAACTTCTGTCCCAAACACTATCTTAATTTTTTCTCAGGATATTCAACCACCATGTGCACATCAGGGTTTATTTTATTTTATTTTTATTTCTTTGCAGGAAATAAATTAGGACATCAGCCAATAATGAACCTCAAAGTACTCGATAAAGCTCTGAAAATCAAATAAGCATTATTTATATCAATTAAGTCCACAATTGCCTTTATTTTATTTTATTCTATTTTACTTATTTATTTGCAGGAGTAATTGCAATATAATTATACCAGCTTTTAACTTTTTTTAATTGAATAGATGGATTTTATTTTTTTTTTAAATTATCAATTAAGTATTTTCATGTAATTTTTTGTCAATTGTTATTTTACTAATTAATGATTTGTCATTTGTTCTAAAAAATTAAATTAACTCCTCAAAAAGAAGAACTTTTAACTTTTTTTAATCGAAAATATGAATTTTAATTTTTTTAAATACACCCATTTTTTTTAAATTATCAATTAAATACTTTCATGTAATTTTTTGTCAATTGTTATTTTACTAATTAATGATTTGTCATTTGTTCTAAAATATTAAATTATTTCTTCTTCTTCTTCTTCTTTTTTTTTTTTTGAAGAAAACGTTTCCTCCCAAATTATTTTGGTATTTGTTACAAAATGGAAAAAAAGAAGAAGAAGAAGAAGAAGTTTGATTTTTTTCTTTTATTTATTTTTTAAATTGTGACAAAATCATAATTTACTATTTTGGATAAACAAAATAGAAGTGGTATAATTACAGTGTCATTATCCCTTTATTTGCATTGTGGTTGACAAGAATATTCTTTGTGTTGAACTGATCAGGGTTATGTGCTTGGAAACCCAGAAACGGATGATGAGATTGACACCAATTCAGTAGTTCCTTTTGCTCACCGAAAAGCACTTATATCAGATAAACTCTATGAGGTAACTTAACTTCCTTGTCCTTGCTCTGCTCTTAACTCTCCAGCTAGTTAGTTCTTTATTAAAGTAAAAATGTTCTTGTGCTTTTTTTTAGTCCTTCGAGAAAAATTGCAAGGGTGAGTACTTAAATCCAAATCAAAGCAATGCATCATGTATGGAAGACATACTAGCCATCAAGGAGGTGAGTAATGAATTTATAAAATCAAAACTTAGATAAACATATTTTGGATCATGCATTAAGTTTATCAACATGAAAATTGACTTCTCTTTTGAATTTATAGTGCATTGGAAAAGTTAATAATCCACAAATACTGGAACCTTTATGTAAGGCCGCATCTCCAAAACCAAAGGCATCAAAATGGGATCCAATGCTTCTCACGGATGATGACAGTGATATTCTGCTATTAAGTCCCCATATTCCTCGACCATGGTGCCGGGTAAATTGAACTGTTCCTTAATTTCTTTCACCCAAAAGTCACTGCAAACAATTTTCTATAGCTATTAAAAAAGGTTGGTAGTTAACCAGCTTATTGGTTTTGTAGAGTTACGATTATGTATACATCTATATTTGGGCTAATGACAAAACTGTTCGAGATGCTCTTCATATTCGCAAGGTATGCTAGCTCCATAAAGCATTAGCATTCAGACTCAAAACAATTCTAATGATGTATATATGCAACGAAAATCATAACCAGGGAACCAAAAAGGATTGGAAAAGATGTAATTTGACCCTTTCATATGTGTACAATTTCGCAAGTACCGTTGATTACCATCGGAACTTGACCAAAAAACCATATCGAGCTCTTGTTTACAGGTAATGTGATGCACAGATAATTCTGAATTTTCCAGTTTAGTGCAATTTTAACCATTGTTTCGACATGAATAGTGGCGATCATGACATGGTTATCCCATATGTTGGTACACATGAATGGATCGAATCTCTGAATTTGACGATTAAGGATGATTGGGAACCGTGGTTTGTTGATGGTCAAGTCGCAGGGTTAGTATCTATCATTTTAGACCCTTTAGTTTTCTTTTTCATTGTTATTTCTATTTAAAAAAAAAAATTGCAATTCACCGTTATCCCACAAGATGTATTCATTTTTTATTTATTTTTCATCTTTAGATACTCAATACTGTATGAAAAGAATTCGTACGATGGCATTACATACGATTTGACATTTGCAACGGTAAAGGTAAGGCTAGACATTAACTTATTCTACTCTACAATATTAAATTAGGATGGTGTTAATCTCATTCTATTTTTTGTTATTCTCACTTCATTGTTTATTCCAGAAACTAAAATAATTTTATTTAACATGTCTCTTATATTTAATTAATACTTTTAAAGTGATCCTTCTTTATTTTTATTTTTTTTAAACGCAAGAAAAAGAGTAAATGATGCTTAATGCAGACTTAAAATTGAGGTGGTAGATATTGCTTTTTATGAACTAATACACTTGATAAATCATGACTCGGGATTTTTTGTTATTGAAACTCATATAACATAAATCACAAATTATTACTAATAATTTAGTATTGTTTTGAGATGTAATGGATTTACTAAATTCTCACTACGCACGTATAATTAGGCATAATTATTTTTTAGTGGTGATAGACTTGAGCTCATTTAGTCTAAGAATGAACCCAATGGTAGACTAAAGGTTAAGCGTGTTCTAGTATTAGTTTAGTCCCGAAAGTAGTAAACTTAATCTTGATTGATGCGGAAGCTTGCCTATTAGAAGTATAATGTGGTTGCTTGTCACTCGTTTATTTATAGTTAGTTTTTAGTTAGTTTGTGAATGAGTTGTTAGTTTGTTAATATTAATTTAACTACTTTGTTAGTTTTATTCTTCCCTTGTATAAAACGAAACTCGTTAAGAAACAATATTGTATTAAATAAAACAAAAAGAATCCCTAAATACATTTTCTCTTTCTGCTTCCCCGCTTCTTCAATATGGATTCCACTTCTTGTTCTTCATTCTTGATTCATTCAATCCATGAAAGTTAACATGGTATCAAAGCATATGTGATTTAAGGATCGTTCTTCGCATCAATCTTGAATCTCTATTCATATTTCTTTTCTTCTCTTTATCTTTTCTTGAGCTTTTTCCATGGAGGAAACATCTCAACTTTTACGATTTTCTACTCGTTGAAACAATTCCATCTAAGGATGATTCTTATTTTCCTCATTATATTCATCATTCGGATCATCATAGATCTTCGATAGTTACTCCTTTATTGACTACAAAGAATTATGCAACCTAGAGTGGGTCTTTTGCACTTTCTCTTTCAATTCGAAACAAGTTAGGATTTGTCGATGGTTCTACCCCCAAACCCAAGGATGAAGATCAACTCGTTCGGTTCTTGGAATCGCCGTAATAGCTTAATTGTGGCATGGTTGTAAAGATTATTATCACCTCCTATTGCTATAATTATGTTTTTTATGAATTCAACTCAATAGATTTGGATAATTTTAAAGAAAAGATTCTCTCAACCGGATGAGTCTCGAATCCGCAATCTTCAATGGTCTATTTGCTCAATCAATCAAGGTACCAAGCTTGTGACTACTTACTTCACCGAACCGAATAGAGTGTGGGAGGAATTGAGAAGCTTTAAACCCTTAACACACTCGCTTTTATGGAACTTACAACAATGACTATTTTAAAAAAATTATAGACATCTATTAGAAAGATTATGTGTTTAAGTTCTTAAATGGATTGAATGAATCATTTGCTTCACTCGAAGTCTCAAGTTCTTGCTATGAAACTCATTCCAAGTTTAGATGAAGTTTATAATCTAGCCTTGAGAGAAGAGTTTTAGAGGATTGTGCAAGCTATGGTCGTTTTTTCTAAAAACAAAAGAAATATGCATATTACTTGTTTTAATTGTGGTAAACCCGGCCATAACAAGGATAAGCGTTATAGGATTATTGATTTCCCAAAAAATTTCAAGTTTGCCAAAGCCAAGGGATTTTTTAGTTCTAGTTCTAGCAATGATGGACATGTGAATTCCGGTTTTAGCAATGCAAGTTCTTCCGGATATATCAATAATGTGGCATCCATACCTTCAAATCAAGATTGTTGTATTTTTATTTAAGACTCGCTCAAAATGCTCGACTTACTTTATCTACGGTCTCTCTTACTTAGGAACAAGTTTCTAGGCTCATGACTCTTTTAAGTGTTCAAGATTCACAAGCTTCAACTTTCTAACCCCCAAACACTATTACCCCTTCGTCTATTTCTCATGGCCTATATCCAGATCTTATAGATAGTATTTTCAATTCGCTTACTCGTTTTCATCTAAAAAATATCATTTCAATTTTTAATTCATGTTCCTAGATACTAGATACGAGTGCAACTAATCATATCCGATGTTCACTTATCCGTTTTCAAACTTATAAACTTTTTTTTGATGTTACGAGTATAAATGTCAAATGGCACTACAACCATTGTTACTCATATTGGTCAAGTGTGCTTATCATCTTCCTTTTGTACTCCATGATATTTTTTGAATTCCTTCTTTCAAATTTAATATAATTTACGTTGGTAAACTCACAATTCATTCTTAGTATCAACTCGACATTTTCCGGTAATGTTTGTGTGATTCAAGACGACTCTTTATGGACAATGATTAGAACCGCTAATCTTTAAGCATGACTATTTTTTTTCCAGCTTGTGCAAGCTAGTCATGTCTCTTCTATTCAAAAATCTTATACCGATCAATCTATAATAGTGAACTTGTCGATCATTCCGTTTCTAATCTACGACACTCGTAGGTTATGACACTTTTTAACTAATAAAATCAAATTAATTTATCGGGATCATTCTACTCGTTTAATGTAATGTCAATTCTCCTTGTTTTATATGTACTTTGGAAAACAAAAAAGGTTGTCATTTCTAATCCATAATAAAGATACAATTTTTCTTTTTGAATTAGTACATATGAATATTTAGGGACCATATTATGTTTCTTCTTTTAATGGTTTCCATTACTTCCTCATTGTTGTTGATGATTTTACGAAGATGACTTGGGTATTTTTATTAAAACATAAATCCGATGTTTTATCCATCATTCCCTCTTCCTATCAAATGGTTCATTCTCAATTTAATTGTTCCATCAAGTAGATTAGATCTAATAATGGACCCAAGTTCCATCTTTTCACTTTTGAATGCCTCTAGAGGAATTCTTCATTAGTTATCTTATGTAGGCTCACCTCGGTAAAATGTTATTGTGGAAAGAAAACATCAACACTTATTGTCTATGGCCGAGCTCTCCCTTTTCAAGCATTTTTACCATTGAAATTTTAGGAAGATGTTATTCTTACTACTCGTTTATCTTATCCATAGAATTCTTTCTCCCATGTTAAATAATTCCTCTCCTTATAAACTCGTTGTTTCACAAATCACTCAAGTACACTTATTTAAGAGTCTTTGATTCTCTATGTTTTGTTTCTACCTTTAGTCATAACAAAAAAGAGTTTCATCCTAGGGCTACACCTTGTATTTTCCTTGGATACCTTCCCGGTGTTAAGGGCTACAAAGTTTATGATCTGCAGATCACACAAGTCGTCCATTTCTAGAGATGTCATCTTTCATGAAACTCGTATTCCCTTTTTCTCCTTCGTGTCTTTTTCTTTCCTTCATCGTTTATCTTCTCGTTACTCCTTCTTATCCTATGTCTTCTAATTCTATTTTATTTGATTTTAGCCATATTAAACCTCCTCATACTCGTTATCCTTCTTGATACATCTATTAACTCTATTCCCGTTCCTGCTAATATTATTGTCAAAAATATGCATCTTCTTGTTAACAATATTGATTCCTTTGTTAATCACGATCTTATTTCTTCTCCCGTGCATGATGATTACACCAATAATTCTACCGAGCACATGGATACTATTCATCTTTCATCTACTCTTTATTTCACTATTGTTTTCAAAAAATCTACTAGAGTGAGTAAGCATCTTAAATATTTAGAAGCATACCAACACTCTCTTCCTTCCAAATTTGTTATGTCTCATAGTAATCTTGTTCATTCTACTCCATACTCCATCCATAATTACCTCTCAACTTCTCAATCATCACCATCTCATACTCTATTCATTACTTATTTATCTAATATTTTTTAACCTAAGGTATACTTATAAGCTATTAAGTTTGACCATTGGAAATATGCTATGATTTCGAGTTATAGGCTCTCGAGAAGAAACATACTTAGCCTCTTATTCCCTTACCCGTAAGTCATCATACAATAGGATGTAAGTAGGTTTACAAGGTGAAACTCAAGGCTGATGGTAATATTGATTGTTACAAAACAAGATTTACAAGTAAAGAATACGGTTAGGTTGAGGGTTTTGATACCAAAAGACATTTAGTCCTGTTGCCAAGCATACCATAATTAGATTATTTTTAGCTTTGGCTACTATAAGGGGATAAACTCTTTCTTAGCTTGATATCAACAATACTTTTCTCACATGGTGATCTTGATGAGACAATATTCATGGATATTCCACTTGGTTATCGATTAAAAGGAGAGTCTACGAGTATTTCTCCCAACTTGGTTTGCAAATTACGTAAGTCATTATATCGTTTGAAACGGGTTTCCGAGCGAGTGGAATGCCAAATTTACTACGACTTTAATTGAATTTGGTTTCAAATAGTCAAAGATAGATTATTCTTTGTTTACTATGACTATTTCTTTATAGAATTTTCTTGCTTTATTGGTATATGTAGATGATATAGGCACTCGTTAGTCGTTCTTCTTCGATATAATTGCTCTTATACATTTTTTAATTTTGAAATTTAAGCTTAAAGATTTAGGTCATCTTAAATACTTCTTGGGTATTGAAGTAGCTAGATCACAACTTGGTATTACTATTTGCTAGAGGATGTTCGGATTTATTGGAAGAGTATGATTTTTTAGTTGCTAAACTTGTTTCCACTCCTATGCACCTTAAATAGAAGCTAGTATATACTTCAAACTATCTACTTATTGACCCTACCGAATATCGATAACTAGTAGGGAACCTTTTATACTTGACATTCGAGTAGGCTCGATATATGCTTTGTTGTTCAAGTCCTTGCTCGGTTTATGGACAAACCAGCTTTGGTTCATCCGTAAGCTACTCATAGGGTGCTTAGGTTCTTGAAGGGTGCACCAAGACAAGGCTTGTTATTTTCAACTTAGTCCACACTTCGGTTAAGGTCCTTTTCGACAGTGGATCGGGTTGGTTGCCCTAAAACTATAAAGTCGGTTTCGGATTTTGCATTTTTTGGGAACTTCTCTAATTAGTTGGAAGTCTAAAAAAGAGAGTCTTGTAATTAGAAGTAGTACTCGTAGTTGAATATAGGGTCATGGTAGTCGTGACTTGTGAAATCATATGGATTTTGTACTTACTTGGACAATCTTGGTGTTACTTATTCTCAACCAATATAGTTGTTTTGTGACAACCAATCTACCTTACCCTATCTATAAAAATCCAATCTACCATGATGAAAGAACAAAACATATTAAGGTTGATTGTTGTCTCATCGACAAAAAGGTTCTTTGTAGTCATGTTTAGCCTCGTTTTGTGCCTACTAATCAGCGAGCTTGTCGATATTTTATCAAGCCTTTTATAGCATGGTGTTTTCCAAAGTTCGATTAGCAAGACGAGTGTGAATAATATCCATACTCATCTTGAGAGAAAGTAGTAGAAGTATGACGTGGTCGCTTGTCGGCCATCTATTTATAGTTAATTTGTCAATGAACAGTTAATTTGTTAAGATTAGTTTACTCGCTTTGTTAGTTTTATTCTTTGTATAAAATAGAAATTGTTAAGAAATAGTATTGTATTGAATAAAACAAAAAGAATCCCTAAATACATTTTCTCTCTCTCTCCTTCCCCGCTTCTTCAATCTAGATTCCATTTCTTGTTCTTCATTCTTGGTTCATTCAATCCATGAAAGTTAATAGTTTCTCACAAAAAAAAAAAGTTTCACTATTAAATGTATATTTTAGGAACTAGAAAGTATAGTAATTATAGATAATGATTCTTATTTGTCAAGTTAGATACTCCAAAATATATTATTTTAAAAAATATATATTCCGTAAAGTATAAAATTTGAATCAATCGAAGATAAAACAATATTCTTGAAATATAGGTTTTTTTCCCTTGCATAAAGTTTTTTTTAACTTAAAATTATAAAGTAATTAAGACCCATATTCAATTTGGTCACATTAGTTATTGTACAAAAAAGATGCGAGTGGGAATAATAAGTCGTGGAGTGAAAATAAAACCACCCTAAAATTAATATAATTAATCAATCATGCTAGCTAAAATATGTAATTATGTTTTTTATTTTTCGTGTAGGGAGCGGGTCACACGGCTCCGAATATAAGCCTAAGCGATTGCCTTGGCATGATAGATCGATGGTTCGATTACTATCCTTTGTAAAACCATTACCTAATGTTCCTTATGTATCCAACAATTGAAATAATTCCAAGGTTGATCCATGATTCCAATTTTAACAATGGAATATTTTTAGGACATGTTTCTTTTTTTATTATTAGACGAGTAAGAGAGATATTCGAATCAATTTACATATTAATCAAAATTAGGTTTTCTTAAAAACAATTTTAATAACTCACATCTCATATTTGATCTTATGTATTCGGAAAACTTAAAAAACTATTGTGGGTATTAGTCACAATTTTATTGCTATTATTTTTTTATCTATCTCTCCCTCTCCCTCTCTTGTTAGAAATGTTAATTGGTAATGTGATTAGTTGATGGTAATGTTTCATCGTTGTTAACTTAATTTATAAGTCTAAAATATGAATGAGGTGAGCAGAGTCTTCAAATACGTGAAGAGGAATGGCGACAAAGTTGCAAATGATTTATCTAAATTAGCTTTGAACTAACCTAGGTTGCTCGCGTTATGCTTCGGATTGAACATAACAAAATTATTTCAAAATTTTATAATTTTTTTAATTAAAATATGTATTGAATTAATTTTTTCTTATGTTTTTTATTAATAAATTTTCTACTTAAAAAAACATGATTCGTTCTTATTTATACATTGATTCTTAAATAAAAATTTATAATAATTTAAACTAAAATATCAATTCAAAATTAAAAAATATACTTTTCATAAGATTGTATCCAAAAAATAAAGTTACAATTAATGTATAAACTTGTATAACAATTAACAAATGAAAAAATAAATTTTTATTTTTATTTGATGCTATGAGAAGATTATTTTTGAAAGTATATGTATTTGATATATATATATATATATATTCACAAAATAATCAATAATAATGTTAGTATAAAATATTATATTTGAATCATTTAGTGATTCTTTTAAAAATTTATTTCAATGATTTTATTTAAAAAAAAAGGTTTTATAATACTAAAAAATAATATTAAATAGTTAGTGTTATATGTGTAGAGGCATAGTTAATTTTTAATAAAATTAGTAATTTAGTGTTTTTGTTTTAAACATCATGGCTATATTTAATTAGTTGAGAGTGTGAAGTACACACACACACATATATATATATATATATATATATATATTTCATCTTTGTCAAGTTGGATAAGAAAAAAAAAATGTTCGATCTCCTATAATTTTTTCTCAAAAATAAATAACAAAAAGATAATATAATATTGGAAAAATTATTAAAAAAAAAACAAACAACAACTAGGGAGCAGGCTTATGCGCTTGGGCTTAGTTCCAAGTCTGAGCAGGCTAGCCCCCTCCCAAAAAACAAAAAAAAAACAAAATTGGATGACATATTTGCTTTCTGGGCAGCATACGATGTGTTGTCTGAGTCTAATTTCCAGCCAACTCTGTTTTGCTGGAAAAATCATCGAAAAGTTACTTTTCTAATATTTAGCCTCTCCAAACTCAATTTCAATCATATTTTTTTTTCAAAAATATATCAAAACTATAAAAATAATATCAACAAACTTGTTTAGAATCTCAAACTTTATTTTAATACATACAAAAATTTAAATCAAATTCAAAAAATTTAAAATATTTTTAAAACATGATTTACCTTCTCTAACTATTTTATTTTTTTTACAATCACAAACATATTATACTTTTTAAGGCAAATAAATTGATAATAACTTTGACTATTAAAATGACATAAATGGATTTTGTCGTTCCTCCCCCTTCTTCTCTTTCTCTATTTTCTAAGCATCTAGAGACCATATTGCAATATAAATAAAGTTGAAAATCAATTTTTTTAAAATAATAAGGGACCGAACTGCAAAAACACCAATAAAAAATCTACAGTAGATTTAAGTGCAGATCAACAGTGTACATGGGTGTTGAGCTATAAAAAAGAAAAAAAGGCACAGTGAACTATCGTTGTTTAAGTTAATTATACAGATGATGAATAAAATAATAATTAAGAGAATAATGTGAATTGGGCAGTAGACACTAAGATCCGGGCAGCTATTAATAAAAATCACCTATGTACGGCGACAAATTTAACAGTGGTTGATTATGGAGGGAATCCGAATACTGTTGAATATTGTACTACTTTCCCAAAACCATCCTTCTTGTCTGCCCCAGTAAAGCACACCCCCTACCTTTCACCTCCACCACAACCATGAGATCTCTCCCACAATCACCACCCCTGCCCAAACCTGAAGACGACCCGGACCCTATGGCCCGACCCGCACCAACCACAACCTCTCTCACCGTCCCTTTCCCAGCCTCACGCAAAAAAGGAACTGGGGTTCGACCCTGGCTCTCATTAGACTCAACAGGCCAAGCCCAGGTAGTGGAAGTTGGCAAGCATGCGATCATGCGCCGTACAGGCCTTCCTGCTCGCGACCTTCGGATCCTTGACCCGTTACTTTCTTACCCATCTACCGTTTTGGGTCGAGAGAGAGCGATTGTTATTAATTTGGAGCATATTAAGGCTATTATTACAGCACAGGAGGTTTTGTTGTTGAATTCTAGAGACCCTTCTGTTACTCCGTTTGTTGAAGAGTTGCAGAGGAGGTTGGTGTTTCATTATCATGCTACTAAGGCTCAGGTTTTACTCTCTTCTTCTTTTAGTTGTGATTAATTGTTTTGATTTTTGGTTTGGTTTGCAGTGAAATTTGTAGGGATTTTTTCGACTTAATTAGAAAGGGCATTTAGAATGGTGATACCTAAAGTTGGATTTGAAAATGTTGGCATGGCTATTTGAAATGACATTGTAAGTAAGATTTTTAATCGGTAATTGACAATGAAAGACGGGTTACTATCAAGTGGTAAGTGAGAATAAGGCAATTAACTGGAGTGTCTTGTGCAGGAGTTATTTTGACTCGTACATCAAATACATTGGAAGTGTGATACTTCGAGTAACTGTTTAATTTTCAATAAAAATCCTTTAAAACAATATGGAAAGGGTCGAGTTTTTCCGAGTAAAAATTTAGTTGGTAAAATTCTTTTTGCCAATCAAAGGTCTGAAATTTAAAGTTTGATTCGCTACTAAATAAGATTTTTGAAGCTTCAATTCAAGACACATATTGGATATGTTTCTTTATTACTACTATTAAAGTCATATGCTCTTATGGCTTGCAATTGTGTACTTAATTTTGACTATGTTTGTCACACACTTTCTTTTTCGTATATTTTTTGGCCCTTGTATAGGAGGGCAATGGTGATCATTCAAAGGCAAATCCTTATCTTGCGGAAGAGCCCGAGTCAAATGGTTCGAGTCCTGAAAACAATCCAGAAGACTTTCCACATTTTGAGGATCACAACGAGGGGGTTAAGGCTGAAGGGAAAGAGGGTCTCGAGAATCGAGATGGATCAAAGGTTCTTCCATTTGAGTTTGTCGCATTGGAAGCATGCCTTGAGGCTGCCTGCAGTTGCTTAGAAAGTGAAGTAAGTATATGGAACTCCTTGTTGGATAGGTTTTCTTGCAAAATGAAGTTAATATCCTTAATTTTGAGGCTGATAGATTTCTGGCAGCTTAAAAATCCCCACCCTTATTATTTCCTTTCCCTTTTCCATTTCCTATGCAGGCAAAAACACTGGAGCAAGAGGCACATCCAGCGTTGGATAAGCTGACTTCAAAGATCAGTACTCTCAATTTAGAACGTGTCCGCCAGATTAAAAGTCGATTGGTTGCAATAACTGGCCGAGTTCAAAAGGTTTGATGATGCTTAAGTTTTCTGTCAATACATTTATTTTGTTATAGTATAGCGTGATAGGCTGAAATGAATCTCTACCTGGTTTGCAAGTTTTAAAAGTTCTGTGCTGCAAAAGACTCATATAAAGCTCTCTTATGTTACTGTAATTAACCATGCATGTAATCTCCAGGTTAGGGATGAGTTAGAAAACTTGCTGGACGATGATGAGGACATGGCGGAGATGTATCTAACAGAAAAGCTGGTTCAGCAACTGCTTGAAGATTCTTCAACTTCCTCTTTAAATGAGGGAAATGGCATGGATGATGATGACCTTCATGCAGACTTGGACGACAGGTACCTAATAATTTAATCAACCTCATCTTAAACATTCTTACTTTTTTCCCTCTTGTTTGCTAAGCTATCTTTTCATTGAAAATCTTTCATTATTTTGCATCAGCATTCCTGCTGAGGTGTCATTGGGAGCCCTTACTAGCCACGAGGATGATATTAACAACATTGATAATCAACACGATCATCTGTTCAGTGCACCCAATGGACTTGGCAGATACAGCCACACCCATACCAGCACGACACGAAGTGCTATAAGCAAGCATCTTGATGTAGAGGAGCTAGAAATGCTCCTGGAGGCGTACTTTGTACAAATTGATGGCACATTGAACAAATTATCAACGGTAAGCAACTTAATTTTTCCACTTGATTCTTCTACATAGGTCCATAGGCACGATAATTTTTTCTTATCTTTTTTAACTTTCCTTGTGGAGCTCCATATATTTTGCTCTCATAGCCGGATGCTTATGGAATGCAAGTGAATATGTTTGAGTCCTCCTAGTTGAAATTTAATGGTGTAACTGCATTGTATTCTCTATGCAGACAAGCATAGGCACCCAAATACCTTTGATGCTACCAGTACATAAAAGCTCTCAACTCATTTGCGTGGTTCTAACTTGTTAGTGCTCACAGTGCCAATCTGTGTCCGGGTCTCCCATCTGATTAAACGTGAAAGCAGCTTATGCTAATAGACGTAATGCTACAAGTTTAACTATTTCCCACAGCTTTGAAACTGCACCAGTAGTGCTCATATTGTAGAGAGGACACATTAAATATAGGACTATCTTCGGTTCTTAGATATAGCCAGGACCAAGAGATAGGTGAGGGGAAGTGTTTACCTGACTTAGGGCACAAGAGGAAATGGAATAAAGATTGTTAAGAGATCTTGAGGCTGATGGCTTGAATATTCTTGACCTTTTCTATCAGCACCTTGCTTCAACATATCTCAGAATGACCACAGCAGAATTTGATGAGTGCGAGATATGCATACAACCATTTACGCCTTCTCAATGAAGGTTGATGCAAGGTCTTAATGAACTAGATTTCCTATATGTGCAGTAAGTTGAAAGATTCTTATGAAGTCTGCCCTTCTGGATCTTGATTGTGAGTTGCCATTTCAGGTTTGTTATACAGCTCTCAATATAAATTCATATGATGCCACTCCAAAGAGTGAACTCAACACTGAGTATTTTGCTGAGGGTTAAGAGTGCAGGACCTTCATTAAAGTATAATAGCTGCGTTGCTTGGACAAGTCAGACAGCCCAACTTTGATATGAAAATCAGGGCCAATGACAGAGTAGAGTATGTGTGTTCTATTTGTGGTGTTGTGCATTGATGCACGTCTTTGACTGTGATCTTTCCATGATGCAGCGATGTTGCATATGACTAAACAGGAAAAAAATGCTTTATGTATTTCCCATAATCTATCATATCATTAGCAAAAAGTATACTAGAAGCATATGATATTGAGCATTGTTTCGAAGGTTATAATTCGTTTTCTCCATAGCTGCTATTTAACTCTGCTGCTTCTTTTTTTCCCTCTGTCATCTGATGGTCTTGAAGCTGAGGGAGTATGTTGATGACACAGAGGACTACATCAACATAATGCTGGATGACAAACAGAATCATCTCCTGCAAATGGGGGTTATGTTGACAACAGCAACCTTAGTGGTGAGCTGCTTCGTCGTCGTCGTCGGTATTTTTGGCATGAATATCAAAATTGAGCTCTTCAAAGAAGAGGTGCAAACGGGAATGCCAAAGTTTCTATGGACTCTTGCTGGTGGCACTACCGGGAGCATATTCTTGTATGTGATTGCTATTGCCTGGTGCAAGCACAAGCGATTGTTAGACAATTGACCTGCTACGTATTTTATTGTATTATAAGCAAAAACACGAGTGCTGTTGTATGATATGTTGTGATTTCATAGGAACACCAACATAGGTTAAAAAAAAAGGGAAAAAAACTCTACACGAGTACACCGTATTGTATTAATTTTACCAGGCATTTGCCAAACCAGTTTGCTCGCTGAGGTTGGCTTGGCTCTTCATGTAATTGTATGATACAACTTGTCACTTTACTCCTCTCCGTAATGCTCGTGCTTTATTTTATTTTATTTTTATCTCCATCCTTCCTCCAGGAAAAGTACGCGAGACTGTCTTTCCACAATTTCACTCTCCGAAGGTTTGCGTGCAGCTGCTCCCTCTAAACAGTTGTGTGAAGTATTTCACTCCCGGAAACCTCTCCTGGGGAGGTTTTCACCCTCACCGTGTCATTGGTTGGGGATTTCTTTAGATTTACTTTCTCAGTAGCCTGATTTTGGCTCCTCTTTTGTGCCATTTGTTGGTTTTGTAGGCTGGGAGAGGTGGTTCCAACATTGTTCTTTTTTAGAAAACCGTGGCATGTCGTTTCTGTAGAGAAGGATCGACATGTCGGTTACGAGAAAGAAGGTGCTGATTTTCGCACGTGCCAGCATTTTAATGAGAAATTAACTCTGTATATTTTGATGCTAGAAAACAAAGTATTTGGACTGAAGTTGAAAGAAGATAAGACCCATGAAACCTCATCATCTATGAGCTAAAAAAAAAAACTGGTGGCTGTGGTGCTACTGCTACTACAGAGAAGAGAGTGACTGTGTTTCGGTGTTTGTCTGATGGTTTTTCACAGATGAGTTCAATATCCCAAAGTGTGTTGATGGCACTGACTGTTACGGTCAACAAGTTTGCTTCATCAAATGTTCATGCAGTTCATAAAAAAGATGGTAAAAGACCAACTACAGCAACAAGGGCAGCTGATATTGGAAGAAGAGGAGTCCTCTTATCCACTGTGGTTGCTGTATATTCAGTCAATGACTCAAGGACTGAGCTTCTCAAAAGTACTAAAAACATTATCATTTCGTTTTTTTTACTTTCATTAATTTTAGCCTTTTCTTGCTGCTTGTGGAATGCTATATATATCTTCTTCTTCTACTTTTTTCTTTTTTTCCCCTTTTCAAGCTTCTTAATTTGGAGTCTTAGCTGACTGAACCATTGTTTGATTGTCAGAATATTTGAAGAAATCAGAGGAAAACAAGACCAAAAATGATAAGGAGGTATAACATTAATTGTTACAGTAATAGTATTGCTAAATCTATCTTTTTTAAGGAGTGGTTGATCTTGTAGAATTGAATTACAACTACTTACTTGTATAATTAAATCGAGCTTGCACGTCCCACATTGATCTCTTCTTCTTTGCTACCTAATTTTTTTTCTTTCATATGTTTTAATTTCTACCTTTCACATCCCTCTTGATGACAATTACGTATGTTTTATCCTCCAAGAGAATGGACAGCTATTACAAGCGGAACTACAAGGATTACTTTGACTTGGTAGAAGGATCTTTAAGAGGGAAGAACGAGCAGGAGCTAACTGAAACAGAGAAGGGTATTCTTGATTGGCTTAAGAAAAACAAATGAACAACATATACATATTCTGGCTGTCGTCGATAACTATAAATCATATTCAAGACTTCTCTAGTGCGTGAAACTTTTTCGCATTTTGCTTTCTCCTTTCCTTTTCCTTATCTTCTTCGTCTTATTATTATTTCGTGAAGAAATGAACAAAAATTTTAAATTTTGTCGATCATGCCAAGTTGATTTTATACTTTTTTTTTTTTGTGAAATGCAATTACCATGGCCTACACTTGTGTGCGATGTGTCTATTGTATGCTCATTCGTTTTATTTTATTTGGAGATCCGCTAGTTTAAGATTCCATTAAAAAGAAATACACTTTCAATTTACTAAAATTCCACTCCCCAATTTTAGGATTTAAATCTTTGTGGTAAAAGTCATATGCATGGATCTGATGAATTTTTTTTACATTTAATTAAATACTCCTTTGCCTTGGACAAATAACTTATGGATAAAATCACATATGGTCCCTCAAGTATTTTTCATTTGTGTAAAATCAAATCTTTGAGTTTACTTTTTATCAAATTGAATCCTCTGTTTACAGTTTATGTTTATCGATGATCGAGTCATTTTTTCCCACTTAAATTTGTACCGGCAGCAATTGATAAAAATCATCAACTGGGATATAAATCGGGGACTCATTTTGCAGCAAATCGAAAGTAAGTAATTCAATCTGACCAAAAAGTAGAGAAACCAATTTGAACAAATACATAACTTGAGGACTCGACATGATTTTTATCCAATATCTATTGGGTCTCCTCTAGGCCTCTCGTCTAGACAGGGTCCAGTACGATATCCATGAGAGTTTCTGCACTAGAAATGTAATGGGCTTTTGGAAGAACACAGTAAGATGGAATGGCCCAACATTCACTCTGCCAAACGTAGCCCTTTTTTTTTCCTTTTTTTTTTTTTTTTTTGCTTTAACAAATGGTGAGAATTGGAGAGCTTCTCCAATTATTGAATTGCAATGTAAAACTATACACGGAAGTTGAATTCAGGCACATGTTATTCACGGCTAGAAACATGATATATAAAAATAGATAAGGATGATCTGATGTCAAAATTTTGGGGCTCAAACACCGAATAAAGAAATGGTCTAGATGATAGGTTTGTTCTATTTAGCCAAAGAAAAAGACGTGCCGTTTATGTCCAAAAACGTTGAACATCTCGTAATTTTTTTTAAAAAAATTAGGCATCTACGTGTCACAAGTTAAGACTTAAATTAGGACTCAGTATCCATTCCACAAAATCAATGTCTCTCTAACCTTAAATACAGGAAAGAGGGATTTTACGTCTTCGTGTGCTTAAAAATCGAGGTTTGTTCCTGTCCTTTCAAATTAACCAAACTCATGTCTGTACTTATGCGCAATAAAATAAATAAAATAAAAATCTTATGTTACAACTTACATGAGGCTTCAAAGCAGATGCGGCCTTTAATGGTGAAAAATTAATGACTCTTTGCACTAGAAAATTGTTCCTGGTAACTGTTTTTTTTTGAAAAAAAAAAATAGGATACAACTCAAGGTAATTGTTTGTGGACTTATTGTCTATTCTATCCGGATTTTTTTTGTCCATCACTTTAAGTTAATTTCTGATCAGATTAATTAAACTAACATATATTCTTTTTAACATTATGGTATTCCAGAACAACTTGTATGTATCTAAATTAAATTGATTTCTGTAATCCAATTAAAGACATATTATTCACATCAAAATTAATTAAGAATTTTATATAAAAAATTACTTTTTAGAGTCTAATACTAGCCTTTTAATTAAATCCTTTTAACAAGATAAAAAATATAAACCGCTTGTCAATTAGACTAACCCTCAAATTAATTAATTGCGGTAAAGAGTAAATAGTATTTTATTTATTGATTAAAAGGTTCATTGGATCTTAAACTCTGTGATGAGAGTAGCATTTTTCTATTAAAATAAAATGAATAAAGGCATATATATATCAAGCAGTAACTGAGATTCGAATTCTCAGTCCCACAATATTTTATAAAAACTAACTTACCGCAGTATCATTGTGAGTTCAAATTAATGTTTTTATCCCAAAAATAAAAAATAAAAAATAAAAAATCCCAATTATATGATATCCCTCCAATACAAATGGACACACAAACATTAATGGTTTATGCGGAATTTTATATATATAAATAATTTCTTGGAACTTTGTAATGCTTAATAATATAATGTGAACCTGAATGTTAATGCTGAACTTTTATATTTTTATCGCCAACTTCAGCTACAAATGAAAAAAAAGAGTTAGTTATAAATTAGTACTTCTGTGTTCAATAAATAAATTAATTAATCTATTTTGTTTTAAAAAATATTTATTTAATTTTTTTTACTGGTTATATCTAATTTAATATTATTTTTTTAAAATATATATATATTTTTTTTCACTAATCTTTTTATAATATTGAAAAAAATATAAATTAAACGAAAAGAATTAAATAATTAATTTTTGAAACACAGATATCTGTTTAATTCATTTCTCAAATCTAAAGATACTATAATTTACTAAAGAAAACGTAATGTCTTTCACTGATTCACACTGTAACATCCAAGACTGTAACAGAAGTATGGGCTCTTGTCACAACAAACTTTTCTAGAAAACGCAAAACTTTGCATTAAAGGATGAAACAGAGTCACTAATGTTTCTTGTCGCAAACTATAAATGTATTTTTATTTTATTTTTTAATTCAGCTAACCTACTAAAAAGTTTAATGGCAGTTTTGTCTCTAAACTATTGCAGTTGTGATATCATTTTTGTCAATTTTGTTGGATAAATATTGTCCCCCTATTTGTACCTTTTTTATTGTTATCATTGATAAAAACATTATTTTTTAAAAAATATTTTAAAATATTTTTAGCTGAAATTTTTCATAAATGCTAATGAAAATTCAATCCACTTCACAGATAATTTAAAGAAAAAATTAAAGTCGGAGATTATTGTTTTTGTTTTCTCAATAATATAAATTCAATAAATTATGAAAAGAAGAAAATAAGCTGGAATTATTTCTTCTTTTTCATTTTTTTTTTTTGAAAAACTCTTAGATGGTCATATATATGAACTTACATACATAATTTTAGTGTGATTTTCGAAATATGTTCATATGAAATTTCTAAATTTAACATATTTTAAGATTTCTTTAGGAGTTACTCATTCCACCATGCAAATATACTTTGAGAAACATATTAAGACTAGGCAAATAAATGTATAATATTTTTTTAGAGCCCTAATTTTTTTTTTTTGGATCATTCCATATATTTCTTTTCTATTTTGTAAATATTTCATAGTTTAAAAAAATTAAAAAATACTTTCTTATTTCTATTTTTTTAAAATAGATTTAATTTTTATCAGTATATATAAAACTTTTTAATTGAAAATATCAAAAATAGAATTTTTTTAAAAAAATATTTTTATTTAAAGGTAACGATCAAATCAAATAGAGAGACAATATTTACTCAAAATATGATAGTTTAATAGTGAAATTGACCAAATGGATACTATTAGTCTTCATTTTGCCACAACTCTAATAATTAAGGGGTTAAAAAATGCCATGGAACCCTACTAGATAACGTCAAAAGAGATCATTGAGTGAAGAGTATTTTGGGCGATGTGGATAACATCAAAACACAAAAGAGATTCCAGGACAAAATGGTCTTTTACACCGTATAAAAAAAATGCTATGTAGATACCACTTTCTAGCGGGCCAATAACAATTCCGTTTTTTTTTTTGAAAAAAAAAAAGAAAAGAATAAAGAGAAGACTAACATCAGAAGAAGACTAACAACCCTGGACATGTGATTCTAGAGTCATCTCAATCTCACGTAAATTATAACCAGTTCTTTTAGTTTCGAGAAACGAGTTAATCAATTCTTATGTTTCAAAAACTAATTATTTAATTATTTTTTTTTATTTTTTTCTTTTATTATTTTAGAAATAGAAAAAAAAACTAGATAGATATCATGAAAAAAATGATAAAAAAATAGTTTTTTGAAATTTAGTAATATTAAATCAGAAGTGATTAATACTGATTAAAAAAATTAAATAACTAATTTATTTTAGAAAAAAATTAATTAAATGGTTTCTCAAAACTAGAGGAACTAATTTATAATTAAGTCTAATTATTTATGTAACAACATAAAAACTTAATTGAAAATAATTCATTAAAGGTGTAAATTAGTTAAAAGTTATAGCACTATTTGTATGGGGACGCGGCCATAAGTAGAGAGAACAAGAAAAACATATCACAGAAGTTGTAGGACAATCCATGGCCCATACGCTACAAAAAAGTGTCTCCTAAACAAAAATTTGCCTTGGCTCTGCTACTGGATGTAGGTATTGCAATATTGCTCATGGAGTTTCATGTCCAAAAACTTGCTTAATCAATCGCAGATTGTAGAGAGTGAGACTCCGATGTACGATGCATTATATTGGGGTGATCTTTTATTTTAAGAAATTGATTTAGACCGATCATGCATGCTTGCTGAATCATAACACATGCAGCTATAGGGGTGGCAGAGACGTGGAGACTATTGTCATGAGAAATGGGAACACTTGTAGTTAAAACGGCATTGGAGACAGGAATAGAAATTAGCTATATGTATATAAAACGACAAAGCCGCTCCGTTCCCCGCTGTATGTTACAGGGGATTGAAGGTTTTGTTTTTGGCAGTGGTTGGAAGGGCAATGGATGTTTTTCCCATACCCTCTTAGATCCTTATCCAAAACGATGGACAGCACTGAGGCAAACACTAACCACTCCTAATTAATTATGTTATTAATTATCTATATGCATCCATTTGTTCAATTGACCTTTTAGCTTTTCTCTTAATTTGTTCTTTGTTTAGGGTTTTGTATCCCACTAAATAGAAGACTTCCGTTACAGAGGCTAAGTTAATTATATTTGTGGAAAATGAACATGTGGGGGTGTAGCTGATCAGAGCTTTGACATCCTAAATTCCCAAGTGGTATCTTTTAATTAATCTTATTCAACCTTGTAGATAGACACCAAATTATTAAATGTTATAATTAGGAACTGACTGGGCATAGTTGAATGAATAAAGAAATGAAAGGGAAGGACATATAATTTGCATGACATCAAGTCCAATGTCGACAGCTGCAAAGCAGACAGGGTTGGAGAGAGCAGAATTTGCCATAAAATATGAACACTTTTTTTTTAACAAATTGTTTTTAAAATAAGATCCTTCCAAATGAGATAAAGAGCACACAATAAACAAAATGAGGCATGTTCCATTGGGTCAGGAAGATCTGAGGCAGGATCTCCAGGGCTTGAAAAAGGGTCGTGGAGATGCATATGAAATATTCCAACATTAAGTTTGTCATTTCCCTTGTCATCTCTGAACTTATCTGACTACCCATCACCCCTTACACTTTTCATCATCCTGTCTCATTTTCAACTCCACATTAATCCAAAATTTTGTGTTAGTCTGAAAACCAGCTTGTAGCCCTATTGTGATGAATGGAGCCTTGTCTGAACACTTAGAGACATAGTGGAGGCTTTGTCCTTATTAGTGCTCAAGCCTTTTCAATGATATGTTTTTTTTTTTTTCTCTGGTAGATTTGGAAAAATCCCACCTAAACAAATCTGATCATTTGATCTTTATTTGGATCATATATAGACAGCCACCAAAGTTAGGTTGTGGTACTTTCTTGTACTGTTTGTTGAAACAGAATATAGATATGTTAAAATATTAATAAAAATAATCCGAGTGTCTCAATTATATGGTTTATAATTAGATGTTATGTGAATGGTTCAGTCAATGATCCTTTATTTTCGTTCTCTCTCTCTCTCTCTCTATGATATTGTTCTTGGTTTTTTTTTTTTTTTTTATTCTAGCTTTCTTCTTGGCAAGGACCTCAATTCAGTAATTTTATTTATTTGGAGTAGTCGGTGAATTTGAGACTTCATGGAACTATGTTTTTCATCACGCTCATTTTCCACGAATTGAGGGCTACAAATATGGGGAGCGTGCAGGGTATGAAGAGGAAAGGGAAATGAGAATTGGCAACTAGATTAGCATGATTAAGTCCGACAAGCATGACTCACGAATTGAATTTGAACACAACCGACATGGATGGCCAAAATTAATTACTACTACTAAATATCAAAACAAGGAGGAAGAAGTGAGAGATCACATGGAATTCACTACCTTTAAACAAAAGCAAAAGCATCCTTTTCTAAGTAAATTGTTTATGCCTCTTGATCAACAAGTTTGCCATAAATTTCAGAAGCAGGGAAAATTACAAAATATATATTCTAGTACCGCGCGCAGTGATTAATTATCCCTGTAAACCAATTCCTAAAGGGATTCTTGTTTGGAGCATATTCATTTATTTGCATATTGCGAGATGACGTATAGAAGTTTTATGAGATATGGAGTGGTGATTTAAAAGAGAGCATGGGGCTACATAAAAAACAAGGACTGAGCATAACTGCACGCAGAGGCTGCCTAAAAGGCACAGCACATTGTGTACCTACTGTTCATTGGCAAGAGAAATAAATTTGGAGAACAAGAAATTTATTTCTAACTTTTGCTCTCAGGTTGTTTCCCATTGCACTGAGGAAAAAAAAAAAAACTCGAAAAGAAGGTAAATTTAAGGAACAAGATCTTTTGAGAGATCCTTTTCTTTTTTACTTGGGCAGCCTTTTTTTTTTTTTTTTTTTAACATTCTGCAGTCCTCTTTTCTCCATCTCTTTTAGAGCAACTTAAACAGTAATAACTCCTGTGACAGGCGGTTATGCACAATCACCATATATTATTCTTCCCTTAAAACCACCTGAAAAAAATTGAAACATTCACCATTTATCAAAATTTTGAGAACAAAAAAGAAGAAGAAGAAGAATTAGAGATACATTTATGCATGGCTTAAACATTGTAGTACTATGTTTTAACTGCCATGTCTTGCTAGAACTAAATATAACGAAACATACTTAACTGGTTATTTTGAAGTTGGTTTCCAGATAGAGAAGGGTGTATGTAACCATTGCGGTCTTGATATGCAGATCTACCCTGCAAGAATCAGCGTGCTTGATATCAACAATCAGAAGCTATTTTGATGTTAAAAAGGCAAACAGAATCTTAAATTAAGGAATTAGGCCAAGTACCTGAAAACGAGTAGCTGAAAAACCTTGTGAATAATCCAACACACTCTCCATTGAAGCTTGATTGTTAGAGAGAGCAAAATTATTCTGCTATATATTGTCAAAAAAAAAAAAAAAAAAACCAACAAAACAAAGTTAATTGCAAGAACAGTGAAGGTATAATACAAGATGTGAAATTCTCTAATCTGCGTTGTATTTGTAATCAATATTACTATAAGCCTATATATATGTTTTATGAACAAACCTTGGAGAAGTTGAATGCAGGAGAGCTAGCGGTATCGTCAAGAAAAGAAGGCAGTTCTTGATCCTCCTTTTGACGTCTATGTTCTTTCTTTTTTTGCCTATAATTGGCACCATTTTTCAGCAATGCAGTATCCTTAAGTGATGGATAAAAGTAACCATTATCATAGTTGATGTAACTTTCATCTTCATGGAAATGTGGAGGGCCGGAAGATGCATCTGAGATCATAGACAAATCCTCCTCCTCCTCCTCATCTTCTTCTTCTTCTTCCCTCTCTTCTTTAGTGTTCTTTCCTTTACTATGAAAGCCAGTACTCTTTGCATCAACAAAGTTGGTTCTATGTTCAGGATTCGGGTGAGAAAGAAAAGATTGTTCTAAGTATAGAGTCCAACCAGACTCGCAATCAGCACTGCATTCTGAGGCTAAGAAATTATTCATTTTCCTCCTAGCTAGATGGCTATAGTTTCCTTTGTTTATAAGTATCAAAGAAATTACCACTACAAGAGATGAGAAATTTTCTTGTATGAGGCTGCCTTTTTATGCAGGAGGAGAGCTAGCAAGGGGTAAGTACTAATAAACACAGTGGGGGCTGAGTATGCCGATTTTTGGGGTTGAGCTATAGGGATAGAATTTAGAACTCGGAAGCGTAGTGAGGGTGTGGAAAAAACCAAACGAATCAGGTTCAAATCCTAGAGTATTTTTGTCCTCACTCTCCTCATTCAGGCTCTCTTATTTGAATGTATCAAAATTGCCAGTTGGGAGTGTTCTAGTGGGTGCATGCAAGAGAGAGAGAGAGAGAGAGGGAGAGAGGGGAAAACCACAACTCTTCACATGCTAGACAGCGAGGCACTGCGTACTCTCTTAACAAAACCAGGTACACGTCCATTTTCCCTTCCACATTATATGGACACCTATCCCTTGTGCAGCAATGCCTCTCTCTCTGTCTCTCTTGTCACCATGCTTCTTCGTCTTTTTTTTTTTTTTTTCGATTAAATACTGGGGTTAATTCTTTCTGATTTTACTATTTTTGATATTATCTCTTTTCCATGTTGAGGATACGTGGGTCCTGCAGAGAATGATTTGGTACAAGTAATTAAATTTTTTCTGCATAAATGATTCAGTACACATTATTGTCCCCCAATTTTTATGGTAGCATGTGTCATGTTTCGTCAATTTCAGTTAAGAAAATAAGTGGGTGTTTTTTCGAAACAAAAGGCTCCCCCTCCTCGGCACGTAGAAGCACTTGTATTGTGATATTTAAAGAAACGGAATATTTTATCATTAAATAATTGGAGGTATAGTAAAATAAAATTATTAATTATTAATTGGCACGTTTTGTCTACAAATTATTATTATTTTTTAAATAAACTATGTCATTCTCTCATTCATCCGTTAAAATTAATTATCAAACTTTGACGATTAACTGAAATAAGACGTCGTTTTAAATTTTTTTTATATATAAAATTATATTTGAAAACTAATATTAAAAAAAGCAAAAAAAAAAACATATTGTTCATAAAACATCAATTTAAAAGTTGAAACATATGCTGCGAGATTTTAATAGTTTTTTTTTAAAATATTTTTATATTTATTTTTTTGCAAAACGATGTCCAATTGAGTTTTTAGCTAAAAAAATTAAAATATTTTTATATTTATTTTTTTGCAAAACGATGTCCAATTGAGTTTTTAGCTAAAAAAATAATAATTTGAGAATAAAATAAACTAAATTGATAGTCCAATCCTTATTTTGACACAATCCCTACACTTTAAGAATAAAGTATAACATTAAATCATATTTAAAGAATTCGAATCAAAAAAATTTTAAACACTAATACTCACTCTGTCTTAAAAAAAATTATTCTCTTTATAAATTAAAAAAATATTAATTATTATACTATATCAACCTCTTTTATTTTTACTTTCTCAAAATACTATCTTTTTTTATATAATTGTATCTAAAATATCTTTTACAAAAGAATTTTAATTAAAAAAATATACCACTTAAAATTTTAAACATAAAGAAATTTTGAGATAAATATAAATAGGAAGAAATATAACTAACTTGAGTTGGATATTGTGTTTGATGATATTGACGATGAAGAAATAAGGGCTAAAGGCCCCTTTGTTGAGTTATCACTCACCTCCTCATACGCACACAAAAGTTAGGCATGGCTGCACGAGTGGAGAAAATTTTCTTGGGGCAAGGTCCGCGAGGAGTGTGACACTACTAATGCAGTTGACTAGGTTTTTATGAATCTGCACATGCTGTCACATTTTAGCCTCTCACCTTTTTCCAAATACTATTATATATATAGATTTAGTCCATTAATTTTACAGTGTTTCTATGATCTATTGAAGAAATCACACATGCATGTGGGCACGTGTGCATATATATATATATTTGGCATAAATATACATATATGCGAGCTTCTAAATATTCACACACATGTATGCACGTGCACACGCACTTCAACCTGAAATTCTCTGTAAAATTTTCCATTTAGTATTCTCACTTGTGTGATCTTTGGTACTCGTTCCAAAGTTAACTTCTTCACCCATTTTGTAAATTGAATAATTAATTAAACACCTTAGTATTTACTATTTCAGATATTGAAGTGGAAAGGGATCAGATCTATATTAAGCGCATATGTATATGGGTATGTATATAGCTATCTAGGGTTCTAAATATTATTGTTCCTACCATGTGATGGCTTCTTCAAAGATGACCTCTCTGAATCTAAAATGACTGTGGTCAATCTCACCACATGATCACATTAAATTGGATGTTGAGATCTTTTTTGTGCTTTCTCTCACTTCTAAATGAAGCCGACACTGTTAGATGGTGAGGGATGCAAATATATACGCATGAGTGTGTTGGTGTGATGGTGACATCCAACCAGCAGCTTGCTTCAAATGGTAACCGTGGAAGCAACAAAACCTCCAGTTTTTGTTCATCGTCGTCGTACGTTAACGTAGCAGAATTCCAGCAAAGCAAGCAAAACCTTTCTTCGAATTTAATTCCAAGACCACAAGTATATTCTCCATATAATTAGTCGAGCCATTACACATCGTATCGATGGGTATCCTATATATCAAATATGAACGCAACATTAATTGTGCTGCTATGCCCTAGCTAAAATAGAATTAGTATTAATCTTATTGTAATTCGAGTATTTTTGAAGAGATCGCATGAACTATGTTAAATTCGTAAAACAGAAAAACTCCATTTGATTAAAATTATAGTTTTTGTCTTTAAATCTATTGGAAAGACCCAGACCGTAGTAATCAACTTCAACCCATTTTACTGCTGACAAATTCGAGCATATATGCTCTCTTCTATGAACTTTTTCTGCTTCTTGTACTTGACAATAAATGTGGTTTTTTTTTTTTTTTGGTATATATTTAATTATTTCATGTAAACAGTGATATATGCAGATGATACATGTTATCAATAATTCTTGATAATGAGTTAAAATTTAATTCAAATAAATAACAAAAAAGATAAAACTTCATTCGAATTATAAATGAGAATCCAAATTCTTCGCCAAGACATCTTTAGAAGTGTTTTAGATCATTTTATCCTAAATAATAAACTCAAACAACTAACTTCATTCTCATCAATTGAAAAAGACAAATCAAACATCTATCAATAAAAGTAATCAATCAGAATTAACTCCATCTGATTGATCAATTGTATATAATCATAGCATCGTCATATGCTCTTTCAAATCAAACATTGTTAAAGTCAAATGCATTTGTCTTTACAGTGAATTTCCTAGGTTTTTTTATTTTATGAGAATTGATCATTTTATTCATCTTTTCACGTAATTTGAAAAGTTCTTTCACTACAAAAAAAATCCTTAAAATTTTAGGTTTTAAATTTCTAAATTCATAACTGTTCATCATTTTCTAAATATAAAAATATACTCAAACTACTATCTCTTTTGAAGTGCTAAATTAGCTATTGGAATGTCCTTTTATTTATAAAAATGACTTGCTTGCAAGTGTTAGAAATAGTTTGATCACCATCCACCGTGGAAATTTATTCATTACCCCAATAAAAAAAGAAACTATATATCTCACCACACAACATCCGCCCAGATTTGACAGCAGCCTCGTCCATAAATGTATTTAATATAGGACACCTAGATTTTAAATCTTATCTCTGTATAAAGCTGAAGTCAATTAAACGTGATGTTCAAAGAAATTAGTGCACGGCTACTTCTTAATCAAAATGGAAGCATATATGTAAAAACACATGGGGAAAAAAAGACAATTACATTATAACCTGAAATGATCCGTATGATGGTCAAACCGAATGGGGTACTGAGATTCCTTTATGATATTATTGGAAAGTTCAAATGATAGGAAAAAGGCCACGCGGTCAAACATCCACAACTAGTTAACCATAGATCATTACCACATGGCATGACCAAAGATGGTAAGGTCATGAAAATTTTTAAACCCCATGTGCCCTTTCTTCTCGGATCACTCATTATTAATAACTCCGTGCAAACAAATCCCTGAAGGATACTTTTCTAGTGCTGTTACCATCAAAGCCATCAAATTGAGAGTCCAAGGGATCGTCGTAGATAAGAGATGCATCTGGAGCGCTCTATCTCCCTACCCTTGTTGAAAACTTGATGGATGGATATCTTCTGTCCCTTACAGCTCATATGGACCATAACTCGCAAATTGCTCTGTTGGATCTTTCAATGGCATTGGGCCCATAATTTCTGTTTCTAATTTGGATCCTTCCTGATTAAATTTTCTATATCCTCACTTACCTCTTGGTGCCGACCGGCCTCTCCTTCTTGTGATCTTTTTCTTCCATGTGAATGCTTAATTGAAAAAATAACAATACAATACCATTAATAATAAGACGAAACTAATGCAAGTAAGTTAGCCATATTTTACAAATTTCTCGTGTAATTTTCAAAAAATTACACATTGATATTGATCAGAGTTGATTTTAACCATACGGCGTGCTCCCGTGTTATGGTTTACCAGAGAAAAAACAACATTGAATTACATAAAACAAAAAGATCAACACGAATAGACACATAAATAGATAAGACAAAAGATTAGAATTAATTAAAATCATCCCACGCTCTCTATCCGTGGTCCAAAATGCTTTTTTAAAAAAAAACATTTCTCGAAAACAAATATTATCTTTATCGAAAATGGGATACCCAGGTTTCGGGGTAAATCTGTGTGGAAATCTATAAACTTCTAATTCTCTGTAAGGATTGGAAAACACATCGACTCTTGTTTGACTGCTAAGATTAAATTTCATTTTTTTTTTTTTTGTGACAACGTTTTCTTTTATGTTTTTAGAGGAAGGGTTGTTGATTTGTGAAGTCCTCCCTCCAGTTTTACTCATCAACAATGGAATGACAGACGAACAGAAGTAGCAAAACATGGCCCATGACTAGATAAATAGGCCCATAACCCCATAAGGCCACACTGTGCTGTGCATACGCGGTTTGCATGTAAGGCGTTTGATTTTGAAGCCATACCAAGTTGGCAGCCAGTGTCACGTGGAGGGTGTCTGGTCCCCACATAATACGACCCAACAAACTTTTTTGTACTAATAATACCCAAGGAAAAAAAAGGGTCAAGTAGAAAACCTTGTCTCATAGCAAAGTACATCGTACGGACGAGGCACCAGTGGGCCACAGCACGACCGACCATGCGAGCATAATTAGCAGAAACATCGCTCTCCAATCATTTTTGGCAAAACACACCACTCCCCTTTCTTTGGTTTTCGGAATCAGGGGCGAAGATTTCCCTTCTATGACGCAATGCAGTTCTCCACCGGCGGCACCATACCTCGTGACAATCTTGACCAGCGTTTCATGCCCGCCTTTTTATTTTTCCACCCTAATCAATCAGCATGGTTAAATTTAAAAGATTATATATATATATGTGTGTGTGTGTGATGATTTTATTTATGAGAGTAAAAAAAATAAGTCATCAAGAAAAGAAGAAATAAAATTTTCACTAGTTTAAGGCTTTGATGGCAAGTAATAGAACAAACTCACATGCGCAAGTTGATCCACTTGTCTATCAAGTTGTCTGGAATACGATTGTTTGAAAGAAAAATATTATTAATCTATGAGTTTGTAGAAAAAAATCACAGCAATCATCACTATAGACTATAGACTATAGCTGGCACTTCTTGTTGGAAAAGAAATCTAAGTAAAAAAAATAAAGCAAAAAACAAAAACAATCGTATGACCTAAAATTTTTACATGATTGGCAATGATGTTTCTTTCACGATTGTATTAAAAAAATTTATTAGTTTTTATCAAATAACAATTATAAATATAAATAATTTTGTTTATAGCGTAAATAACTAACTTTATATGAAAAAAAGTCTAATAAATTTATACATCTGACTCAATATTTTGTAGATTTTATATTATTATGCTTGCTTTGCATAATATTCTATGTTGTGTGTTTCCATCTACATCAATCTCGTCAACCAAAGTTTTAAAAAAAAAACTCATGGTTGTTACTTCCCGTCATCTTTGCTATGCTCTCACCCATTCCCACCATTATAAACCCCAAACCATGAGTTGTTATAGAGTTAACTAGATTTTTTGTCTCACGCTATGCTACGGGTAGAATAAAATATATAAAATCATTTAGAAAACTTATTTTAATTTGATAGTTTGTTTTATGGTGTGAATGTATAAAAATATATGAAATCAAAGGTGAAAAAATATTTTAAATTTTTTAATGTAATTTGAAACTAAGTGGATGAGAATTAAAAAAAAAAACAAATTAAAGTAGTAAATTTTAAATAATAAAAATAATCAACAAAAAACACTAAAACAAAATGGGATCAAATTAAAATAGATTAAAGTTTGAAATAAAAAAAAATTGTATAAAAAAATTGAGGACCATATAATTTTAAATTAATTGGATGAGAAAAGAATGAATAATATTAAAATAAATAAAAACTATCATTAAATGTAATTTTAAATTAATTGGATGAGAATTTGAAAAAAAAAATGGCAAATTAAAGTTATAGATTTTAAATAATAAAAAAAAAAAAAATTAAAACAAATGGGCTAAATCACAATACATTTAAATTTTAATTTTTTTTAAAAAAAATTGTATAGAAAATTTGAGGACCATATAATTTTAAAGTAATTGGATTAGAATTTAAAAGAAAAATGACAAATTAAAGTATCAAATTTGAAATAATAAAAATAATTATGAAAAAAAAACTAAAATAAATAATTTTAAAAGAAATAAATAATTTTAAAAATAATTTTTAAACAATAAAAGTAATATAATCGGATATACATGTTCAAACTAAAATCTAAAAAAAATATCATATCTATTCTATCATCTAAAAATTATAACGATTTATTTTTTATGTTTTTCACATCTAATTCCACACACACACATATAAAGAAAAAAAGAAAAGACACACACACACATATAATTTATTGTATAAATTATAATAATATATTTTAAAAAATAAAACACTAACATTCTAAAATTTTAATTCAAAATTCATATATTAAAAAACTAAATTTATTAACAAATAAAATCATAACAAGATTAATTTGATGTGAATTTTAATAAGAAATAAATAATTAAAAAATAAATTTAAAGAATAAAATTAATATACTTAGATATATTCTCTCTCTCTCTCTCTCTCTCTCTCTGTGTGTGTGTGTGTGTGTGTGTGGCGTACGGTTGCAAGCCAACCGGGCCAAGCGGCTGAGTTGGCTTGTGCAACCGAGTTGCACATGAAAAAAAAAATACGAGGGAGGCTAGGCGTGGTTGGCTCGTGCAAGCAAGCCCGCATACCGAGCTTGCCTAGCGAAAAAAAAAAAAAAAAAAACCTACAACTTTTGACGAACCCGAGGTCTTCGGAAGTTCGTTAGAAAATTGGATGTCAATTCTCGGACTCTTAGAAATTGAATTCCAGCATCATTTTTTTCCCAAAACACCTCTAAATGATCGAAATAAAGTCAATAAACACATCTAAAACCTTAAAAATTATTTTAATACTTACAAAAAAAATACAAAATCAAATCGATTTTTTTTTTTTTTGCTCCGATTTACCTCATCTTATTGTTTAATGGCTTGAAACCATCATGGACGAACTCATCTTTCAAATATAAACAAATCTAGTGGATTTGCGCTTGCCGCAGTAGCCTAAGTAAGGTCGGCAAACGATCTCTCTCTCCTCCCCTCTCTCTCTTCCTCTCAGCCTTCTCTCTCTACCTAGGGATCCAAATGGATGAGTAAATGAACATATGAATCGAAAAATGCTTTCGAAAAGTTCGGGGACCAAAATGTAAAAAAAGCTATGAATAGTGAAATGTAAGAAGATGAATAGTGAAATGTGAGTGTATGCACGGTGTTTCAAATAGTGCATGTACAGTGAACGATGGTTTTTCTTTAATTTTTTAATTAATTAACTCAACTCACTCAATTGAAACTCGGTATTGAAAACACCGAAAGTTCGATTATAAAACCCAACACCTGAATTGTATATCCAAGCTTTTCAATTTAGAAACAAACCCATGACTTTGATCATAAGTTTAGGAACATTAAGATTCCACCCATCATATGTTTTTTTTTTTTTTTTTGTTCCAAATCAAACGCGACAATTTAAAAAGAAAAAAAAAAAAAAGATAGCAAAATAATAATAATTGGGGAAGAGGTGTTGAGTTTGACAAATTAGAATTTTTCTAGCAAAGAGTCGAATGCACAATCTTTTTTTATTGAACAGACTTGCAAATTGTTTGATGCAAGCTTTTCAGTGGGCTTTAATACCAATCTCATAGCTAGAGAAGGAAAAATAGAAGATTATTGAGTTTCTGTTGCTGTTGCAGAGCTCAAAATAAGGAGAATAAAATTTTTATACAGAATTCTTCTTCAACCATTCATAGACGGGATGACATGTTTAAAAATACATAAAATAACTCCACAGTCCATCCAAAAAATAGAAAAAATATTTAGGAAATATGCTAGCACAAAACACACAAACATAGAAAATATGCAACTGATATAATTATCTGTCTAAAGCACAAAATGTCTTAGAATTCTAAACAGTGCATTAAAATTCAAGAGAGGCATGGTGCTTGTAGTGGAGACGGAGCTTCGATGAAGCATGGTTGGGGTTTTCTAAGTATGGAGAGAGAACTGTTCTTATTCTTTTATATCCTTAGAGAAAACTGGATTTGGATTAACTTTAGTTTTGACTTTTTTATTTTTAAAGAAAATAAATTTTTATATATGTGGCTTGTTATTTTAAGATTTTTTTTTTACTCTTTTAGGTCTTATTTATTCATTTTTTTCTTTCATGTGTCATTTTCTCTCTTTTTTTTTTCGGACAAAAATCCCTTGAAACTCTAAAATGTGAAAATTTTATTTTTAAAAAACAAAAAAGCAAAAGTTATTTAAAAAATTTGAAATCCTTATTAAAAAAACTAAAATGGAAACTAACTTGTAAAATCTTAAAAAAAATATATATATATATATATATATATATATCCATAGAGCCTCATAATAGAAATATGTATACACCAGCAAAATAAGTTTTAAAAACATTGTTTTACGTTTTTAATTTAATATATATCGTGGCACCGGCGGTGATAATACGAAACTTCTTAATTATTTAATTTATGTGTCTATCATGCCAACATAAATTCGTGAAATGTTTAGTTTTTCTCAATTTTAATATATTATATTGATTATAACT